TCTTCCTCTGGTGTCTCCTCCGAAGCAAACCCCAGCCAATGAAGCACAAGCCCCCGCAGCAGCAGCAGCACCCGCTGCTGCAGCAGCAGCAACAGCAGCAGCAACGCCACCCCTACCGCCTACAGCAACCATCGCAGCAGAAACAGCAGCAGCAGCAGCAGCAGCAGAAGATAGACAGAACTCAGAGAGGCAGCTTCTGCTGCGGGCCCCTTCTCTGACGGAAGCAAAACCAGCGTCCTCTTCTGCTTCGGGTGCAGCAGCATTCAGCAGCCCCAGCAGCAGCAGCTGCAACAGCAACAGCAACAGCAGTAGCAGCAGCAGCAGCAGCAGCAACGATCCGGTGTGTGCTAGTTCCGATAGCCTGCTGCTGAGACTGGTGCCGTCTCGGTTGCTGACGTCTTTATGCTGCAGGCTGCTGCCTTTGAAATCTCTGGTGTCTCTTAGCTGCTGCTGCAGAGCTTTGCTGCAGCTGTCTATACACCACAGATGGGTAGACAAGGCAGTACAGAGAGGAGCCCTTCAAGACCTCGCTGATGAGTGCTGCTGCTGCTGCTGCATGCGAAACAGAGCAGCAGCAAACGCTCAAACAGAAACCCCCAGCAGCAACTCCGCTTGGACTTTCCACAGCCCCTATAGCAGCAGCAGCAGCAGCGGCGGCAGCAGCAGCAGCAGCAGCGACGAAAGCGACAGCAACAGTAGCAGCGACGAACGCAGCAGCAGCAGCAGCAGCAATAGCAGCAGCAGCAGCAGCAGCAGGCGCTGCTGCTGCTGCAGTGGAAAGAAGGTTCGAGGGGGGAGCGTTGGGGTGCTGCCTTCATTGTGTGGGGACATTTTCAGGTGTCTCCTCAGCGCATCACTCCCAGACAGTTTAACAGATGAAATTCGCAGAGACGTCTGCCGTACATTCCCTACTCGCCCTTTGTAAGCTGCTGCTGCTGCTGCTGCTGTTGCTGCTGCTGTTGCTGCTGCTGTTGCTGTTGCTGCTTCTGCTGCTGCCGTTGCTGCTGCTGCTGTTGCCGTTGCTGCTGCTGCTGTTGCCGTTGCTGCTACTGATGCCGCTACTACTATTGCTCATTTTGCTGCTGCTGCTGCTGTTGGTGCTACTGCTGCTGCTGCTTCTAATGCTGCTGCTGCTACTGTTGCTGCTGCTGCTACCGCCGCTGCAGCTGTTGGTTGTTTCTTGCTGTTGGTGGTGCTGGCTTGGCGTTGATTTCTTCGGATGCTGTTGCTGCTGCTGCTGTTGCTGCTGCAGCTGCAGCAGGGAATTGTTCTTGCTGCAGTGGAGCGCTTTGCCTATGTCCCCTGTGTTTTGCTGTTGCTGCTGCTCTGCCGTTGCTGCTGCATTTTCTTCTGATGCAGCATTCGATGCTGCTCCTGCTTCCGCTGCCTTTGCTGCTGCTGCTGCTGCATTTGCTGCTGCTGCTGCATTTGCAGGTGGTTATGTGTAGATGTGTGGGGTGTTTGGGGTGCCTGTGCAGCTTTGCTTCTCGTCGAGGGCAGCAGAAGCTGTACGATGTGCTGCATGCATTAGCTGCAGCAGATCCAAGGACAGGTTACTGCCAAGGTAAGCTGCTGCTGATGTTGCTGCTGCTGCTGTTGCTGCTGTTGATGTTGCTGCTGTTGCTGTTTCTGCTGTTGCGTGTCCTTCTGCTGTTGCGGGTGCTGCTGCTGTTGCTGCTGCAGCTGCTGCTGGCATTACTGAAGCAAGTGCTGCAGCAACTATCGGGGGAATACTCCTGCTGCTGCTGCTGCTGCTGCTGCTGCTGCTCCCCGGGCCTGTGCAGAAGCTCCTTGTGTTTCTTTTTGTTGATTTGTTTTGATTTGTTTTGATTTGATTTGTTTAGGGATGAATTTCGTAGTAGGCGCGCTGCTGCAGCTGTGCAGCAGCAGCAGAGTGCATGCGTTTTGGGGCTTTCTGCTGCTTCACCGCGCACTTAATTATAAAATGCTGCACGAGGGACCCGTAGCTCTACTTGCTGCCAGAACGAATCAGTTTGTCTCCATCATACAGTAAGACACAAGAAGCAGCAGCATTTCCTGCCGCTGCAGCAGTAGCAGCAGCAAATGCAAATGCTGCGGCGATAGAAAGTGTTGCAGCAGCAGGAAATGGTGTAGCAGCAGCAAATGGTGTAACAGCAGCAAATGCTGTAGCAGCAGCAAATGCTGCAGCAGCAGCAAGTGCAACAGCAGCAACAAGCGCAGCAACAGAGGCCAGTGCAGCAGCGAGTGCAGCTGCAGCGGCTACACTGTCTACAGAAGCAGCAGCAGCATCTGTACAAGCAGCATTAGCGGCAAGGGTAGCGGCAGCAGCTGCAGCAGCAAACATGCCAGAGGGCGAGCCTCTGCTAAGTCCTGAGTAGGAGCAGTAGCATGTGCAGCAGCAGATAAAGCGGCAACAGCAGCAGCAGCAACAGCAGCAACAGCACTGCAACCGCAACTAGCGCAGCAGCAGCGGAGGACTTCGGGTTGTCTTGAGGTGTATGTTGAGGTTTATTTGAGTGTCTCTGCATCTTGTGTCCGTCTCCGTTTCGCTGCTGCTGCTGCAAGGAGACAGCTGCTGCTTGGTGTCTCTGTTTTGCTGCTGCGCTGCAGGGAACGGCTGCCCCGCCTCTGCAGCCATCTGCAGGGACAGTGTCTCTCTGTTGGCTTCTTTATTACTCAAGTTAGAGACATTAAATAAATAAATAAGACAATAAAGAGACAGTAAAGAGACAGTAGAGACATTAAAGAGACAGTAGAGACAATAAGGAGACAGTAAAGACATTAAATAAATAAACAAGACAATAAAGAGACAATAAGGAGACAGTAGAGACAATAAAGAGACAGTAGAGACAATAACGAGACAGTAAATAAATAAACAAGAGAATGAAGACAATAAATAAATAAAGGAGATAATGAAGAGACAATAAAGATTAAACAAACAAATAAGAGAATGTAGAGACAATGAAGAGACAGTAAATAAATGAACAAGAGAATGAAGGCAATAAAGAGATAATCAGGAGAATAAAGAGAGACATTAAATAAATACAAGAGAATGTAGAGACAATAAAGAGACAATAAATAAATAAACAAGAAGGTAGAGACAAATACAGGCAGTAGAGACAATGCAGAGACAGTAGAGACACAAAGGAGGTGAAGAAGAAAAAGCAGGGGCAATAAAGAGACAGTAGAGACAGTAGAGACAAGCAAGAGACAGTAGAGATAATAGAGAGACAAGCGAGAAGACGCAGAGACAGTAGAGAGACAAGAGACAGGCCGTAGAAGCAATAGAGACACACTTAATTAGATAAAGAGAATAGAGGGGCAAAGATAATAGAGAAGGGACAGAGACAATAGAGAGGAGTCATAAATAGAAGAGACAGTAGAGAGACAGACAGTAAAGCAAACAGAGACAGCGAGAGTAGAGACAGAAGGGAGACAGCACAGATAACATAGAGATAACAGATATCAAACAAAGACAATAAAGACAGCAGAGACAGTAGAGACAATAGGCAGACAGGAATGGGTGAAGACAATAGAGAGACAATAGAGGGACAGAGAGAGACAACAGGGAGACAGTAGAGTGAAAGCAAGAGAGACAATCGAGAGATAGTTGAGACGGAGACAGTAGAGACAGTAGAGTTAGAGACAGCAGAAGCAAACGAGGCAGGAGAGACAGTAGAGACGCAGACAGTAGAGACAGTTGAAAAGGGCAGTGTCTCCTTTGCCTCCATTGCAGTGTGTGCTGTTTGCTGCTGTCTCCTTTTTGTGGTGTCTCCTCAGTCTCCTTTGCAGTGTCTGCTGTCTGCTGTCTCCTTTGTGTGCTTTTAATTTGTCTCTCAGTGGCTGCTCACCAGCTTCACTGCTTTTCTTGATTTGTCTCTGCTGGGCTGTCTGTGGGACTGCTTCTTTGCTGCTGGGTGGAAGGCGTTAGCTTGTGCAGCAGCAGCTGTCTTCTCGCGACTCGAGAGACAGCTGCTGCAGCAGCCTTCTCTTGACACCATAATTGCAGTCATGCAGGTATCTCTCTCTGCTCCTCTTCCTCCTCCTCCTGCTGCTGCTGCTGCTGCTGTTCCTACTACAGCTGCTGTTCCTTCTGCTGCACCTGCTGCTGCTGCTACTTTTGCTGCAGCACTTGGTGCTCCTGCTGCAGCAGTTGCTGTTCCTGCTGCAGCAGCTGCTGTTGTTGCTGCTGCTTCTTAGGCTGCTCTCATTGCTGCTGCTGCTGTGGTGCTGCTGCGGCTCTTTTCATTCATTGGGATCCCCTGTCTGCTTTCTAGTGTATGCTGAGTTTCTTTGTCTCCTCTCAGGTGTATACGGAGGTCTTGTCTCTGTTTTGAAGTGTATGCTGAGGTTGTTGTGTCTTCTATGTTGTGTCTTTTGCGGTGTATGCTGAGCTTCTTTGTTTTTGCTTCCGGTGTCTGCTGAGTTTCTTTTATCTGTTTTGCTGCGGTGTATGAGGAGCTTCACGACATACACTGTGGGGTGTCTCTGCAGGCCCAGAGGCATTCTAAGACATTTTGCTCTGCGAAGGAGTTTTTTATTTGGATGCAACAAACAAAAATAACAAACAAAGATTTATTTACTGCTGCGCTTAATGCGCATGCTGAACTCTTCCTTGTGAGGGCCCGGCTTCTGTCTCCTTATGCGGTGTATACTGTCTCTTTATGTGGTGTCTGCTGTCTCCTTTCTATTTCTTTGTTTTTCTTCGTTTGGGTTTGCTGCTGTGTCTCTCATCTGTTGTCTCCCCTCTGCTGTCTTCTGTCTCCTTTCTCTTGTTTTGTGTTCCTTACCCCCCAAAGCTTTTTTGTTTGTTGCAGCTGTCTCTGATGTCTCCTTATCTTTAGTCTCTTTGCTTGTTTCTCTTGTGTCTTGTCTATTTTTCTATTTTTGCCGTGTTGTCTCTGGTGTCTCCTTTCTCCTGTGGGCTGTCTCCTCATTCTGCTCTCTGTCTCCTTTGGAGTGTCTCCTTTTTGTAATTTGTTTTGTTTGCTTGGCCTCATCGACTGTCTCCTTTGTTTTGTTGTTTGTCTTGTGAATACTTTTGTTTGTCTCCCTTCTCTCTATTCTTCCTGTCTTTCTTCTTTTTCTGCTGTCTCTTTCTTTTTTTCTTGTCTTGTCTTCTCTTTGCTGTCTCCTTTGCTGTCTCCTGTGCTGCCCCCTTTGCTGTCTCCTTTTCTGTCTCCTTCGCTGTCTCCTTCGCTGTCTCCTTCGCTGTCTCCTTTGCTGTCTCCTTTGCTGTCTCCTTTGCCTAAAGAGACAACAAATAAATCTGTGCTGCGTAATTTCAGGCTCTTATCCATGGCTTGCCTGCTTCCCTCCAGCAGCAGCAACAGCAGCAGCAACAGCAGCAACAGCAGCAGCAGCAGCAGCAGCAGGGAGGGGACAAGGGAGTTGTTAGTTTCATCTTCGAGCGAGATAACTCAGGTACGAGTCCGCAGCAATGTTGTTAGCTGTCTCCTTTTCTTTTATTGCTCTGCTTTTTATTTCTATTTTTAAATATCTTTGTTTTTATTAGCCCGTTCTTGAGGTGTCTGTCTCTCCTCATCTGTCTCCTTTGTGTCTCTTTGTCTCTGCCTCTGTCTCTGCTTCTGCTGTCTGTCTCCTTTGCTGTCTCCGTTAGATAAATTTTTGTGTGCTATCTTGAATAATATATTTCTTGTTGCTGGTTTGTTTGTTTTGTCTCCTTTCATATCTTTTTTGTTTTTGTTTTTATTTTTTATTTATTAATTAGAATAATATATTAAACAAAATAAAGTGCCTCCTCCTTTTTTTCTTTTGTAATATATTTCTTGTTGTTTGTTTGTTTTGTTTTGTTTTGTTTTATTTAATGTAATGTACTTTTTTTTGTTCTTGTTCGTTGTGTCTCCTTTTCGTTTATAAGAATATTCATTCTAGCTAAGGCTGTCTTTAAGTGTCTCCTCAGGTGTCTCCGCCGTAGGGGCCCCACATCTCGTCTCTCTCCAAGGCTGTCTCCTCTCTAACTCAGCGCTTGCAGCAGCAGGCCTACTGCCTCCCCCATCCCCTAGCAGCAGCTGCAGCGGCCGCAGCAGCAATAGCACCAGCAGCAACAGCAACAGACGCAGTAGTGGCAGCAGTGACAGCAGCAGCAGCAGCAACAGCAGTGACAGCAGCAGCAGCAGCAGCAGCAGCAACAGAGAGTGGGTAGCGGTGGACATGAGGGGCCTTCTGACTCGTCAGTATATGTGGGAAGGCAGCTGGCTGCATGCGCTGCTGCAGCAGCATTCTGCTGCTGTGCTGCAGCAATTTGCTCTCTCAGATCCTTTAAGAGACCTCTACCGCAAATGCTGCCTCAGCAAACCCTCTGTAGATACATTAGCATTTACAACTGCTGCTACTGCTGCTGCGGCAGCAGCACCTGCTGCGGCTGCTACTGCTCCTCCCCCTTCTCCCCGCGACGGCGACAACGAGGGTCGTAGCAGCAGCAACAGCAGCAGCAGCAACAACTGCAGCAGCAGCAGCAGCAGCAGATGGGGCTGTGCGCGTTATTGCTTGCTGCCCCTATCAGCGCTGGAGAGGACACAAGGGGAGTTGCTGCAGCAGGAAAAGGAGACAAATAGAGATGTCTCCGTGCTGCAACGCAGAATTGAAGCTGCAGAGCAGAGGAGACAGCAGCTAGGCCTCAGCCTCAACAAGCAGCAGCACAAACTGCTGCAGCTCCTCACGCAGCAGGAGAGAGCTGCGCAGCATAAGGCAGCAGCAGCAGCAGAACTCAACGCCACTCTCGCTCAGCAAACGGAGGACCAGCAGCAACAGCAGCAGCAACAGCAGCAACAGCAGCAGCAACAGCAGCAGCAGGAGGCAAAACCTACCTGCTCTGACGAGCAGCTGCCATCGCCGAAAGGAGACAAACAGCAACCGGTGTCTCCTGCAACATCTGCTTCCCCCACACAATGTCTTACTTCTGCTGCTGCTGCTGCTGCTGCGGAGACATTCCCAGCAGCAGCAGAACAAGCAGCAGCAGAACAAGCAGCAGCAGAACAAGCAGCAGCAGAACAAGCAGCAGCAGAGACAGGAAACGCATCAGACACCTCCGAGGCCTGTGAGGCCCTTGAGGGGGGAATGCAAAGCCCAGCAGCAGCAGCGCGCCCTGCAGCGGAGACAAACGACACACCAACAGCAGCAGAAGCAGCAGCAACAGCAGAAGCAGCAGCAGCAACAGCAGCAGCCTCTATGTCTGGGGGGGCGAGGCCTCAGAGTCTAAAGGCGATGCTCTCTGAGGTTCGCTGGCACCAGCAGCTCACAGCAACAAACCGCAGGAACTCTTACGCCAAGCTGCAGCAGCAGCAGCAGCAGCAGAAGAAGGAAGACCAGCAGCAGCAGGAAGACCAGCAGCAGCAGGAGGACCAGCAGCAGCAGCAGCAGAACAAGCAGCAGCAGAAGCTTGTCTCACAAGGTCTGGGCGATGCAGGTCTTGTGCAGGAGGCGGAGGGAGAGGGGGAGAAACTCTCAAGTGAAGACAGCAACAGCAGCAGCACCAGCAGCAGCACCAATGGCAGCAGCAGCAGTAACAGCAGCAACACCACCAACGGCGACAGCAGCAGCACCACCACCAACGGCAGCAGCAGCAGCAGCAGCAGCAGCAGCAGCAGCAGCGGGAGTGGGTTTGGCCTATCTTTGGGCTGGGGAAGGACAAGCATCCGCAGAGGAGACAGCGCGAAAGAATTGATTGCACCTCTCTTAAGGAAGGTGAGACCTGCTGCTGCTGCTGCTATTGCTGCTGCTGCTGCTTCTGCTGTTATTGCTGCTGCTGCTGCTGCTGCTACTGCTGGTGGTGTCGCTGAGTACTGTTACCTTCAAAATGAATGCTGTCTCCTCCCACTGTCTCCTTTTGAGGTCTTGAGGTGTATGTCTGTCTCTGTTTATTCGTTTGTTTATCTTGCTTGCATGCGTTTGTTTAGTTTTATTTTGTTTGCTTTGTTTGTTTTTGTTTGTTTATATCTTCGGTGGGTCTTTATCTGTGCCTCTCTTTAAGTTGTTCGTTTATCTGTCTGTCTCCGTTCGTAGCATTTGCTGCTAATGCGTCTCCTTGCTCGTGTTTAATCTGTCTCCTTTGTGTCTCTTTATGCAGGTAGCTGCAGCAGAGAGGGGCGCCGCGAGGGCCTTTGCTGCGGTGCTGCAGCAGCGCAGCTTCTGCGCGTCTCTTGCTGAGGAGCTGAGGGAGTTGACGGAAGCTAAAGAACAGTATGTTGCTGCTACTGCTGTTGCTGCTGCTGTTGCTGCTGCTGCTGCTGCTGCTGCCGTTTGTCTGTAGGTGCACTCCGTGGCTGCTGGGTGTGGCAGCCGGCTGCTGCAAGATTAGCAGCAGCAGAAGCAGCATTAGCAGCAAGATTAGCAGCAGCAGCATTAACAACAGGATTAGCAGCAGCAAGATTAGTAGCAGCAACAGCAGCAGCAGCATTAGCACCAGCAACAGTAGCATTAGCAGCAGCAGCAGCATTAGCAGCAGCATGTCAATTGGCTCTAATCTCATCTTCTCCACGTCAACAGCGGATTCACAGGACTGTTATTTAATAAAAACGGGAGACGGTCCCAGAGAGACGATCCCAGGGAGACGATCCCAGGGGAACGATCCCAGGGAGACGATCCCAGGGAGACGATCCCGCATATAATCATGTTGGATTGGGTGTGAGTGTTGTGTGCGTTGCTGCTGCTGCAGACTGCAGCAGTCTCTTGTCGCCTTCCTCAACAGCCAGGAGGAGGTGAGGAGACAGCTGACGATACAGCTTCTAATGGAGGCGCTCTGGGTCCCACACCTTCCCTGCTTTGAAAGTGCAGAGACACCGCAGCAGCAGCAGCAGCAGCAGCAGCAGCAAAAGATGCAGCGGGCTGAGGAAGCAGAGGAGAGACAGTTGGGGGCTGGTGCTGCTGAGACGTAATCGAAGTGTCTCTTCTTTATAAAGGAGACTCTGCATGCAGCACCAATAAAGATGCATGCAGGAGGCCCTGAGAAGGGAACAGAAAGGAGACAGAAAAGACAAAGGAGACAGAGGTCCCGGGGGAGATGCAAGCTGCTGCTGCTGCTGTCTTTGCAGCAGTCTCTTCAAGAGAATCGGAGACAGGCCAGGCAGCCATCGTCTCCTCCTGCGAGTACTGCAGCACAAACATTATGTGTCTCCTTCTGCTGTATCTCCACAGTCTTCACTGCATGCACACCTCCTCTTCTATCACACCCATATCCCCAGCACACTTGGGGCCCTGGGGGCCCCCCTGCAGCAGCCCTCTGGGGGGCCCCCCCTGCAGCAGGCCCCTGGGGGCCCCCCGCTGCAGCAGCCCCCTTGGGGGGCCCCCCAGGACCCATGTCTAGCAAATAGACAGCGCCTTCTGCTGCACCCCCTATTAGCAAGCCGCTGGTTTCATCAAGGAGGGCCCCAGACAAGAACCCGTCTTTGGCTGCATGCAGGGAGGCCGCTGGGGTGTCTATACACCGCAAATCCCAAAGTTTGCAGTAGCCATCTGCCCCCAACGTAATTACTTCAGCACAACTCAGGGGCCCCCCTCCCCTCCTCAGCGGCAGCACGCTGTTAATAGCAGCGCGGTGAGCCTGAGCTGTACAGACAGCTGAAGGGAGACACCGCAAATCAAAGACACACAAACGGCCGTCTCCGCGTCCCCCAGACAGCAGCAGCGGCACAAAGCCGTTGCTGCTGCTGCTGCTGGTGCTGGTACTGGTGACACTTGCTGCTGCTGCTGCTGCTGCTGCGTCTGGAGGCAGCAGCAGCTGCAGGTCTCCAACAGCCCCTCTGTGTGCTGCTGATATTCTTGCTGCTGTTCTCTGTGCATTTAAATCCCATACAGACACAGCACCGTCTCTGCTGCCAGCAGCAGCAAATGCATTAAGCCAGACGAACTGCAGCAAAGGAGACAGTTCAGCAAGGTCCTTTGCTGCTGCTACTTCAACAGCAGCCATCTCCGCTATTTGCTTCTTCTCTCGTAGACCCCACAAACGCAGAGACCCATCGTACCCTACTGAGGCCCCAAGGGGGGCCCCCGGGGGGCCCCTAACCTTCACTTCACTCACACCAGCGCGGTGTCCAGGGGGCAGCTCAACTGCTTTAATCTTCTCTCTCTTAGAACGACAACTCATCCCTACATTACCCCTCGGGGGGCCCCCATTGGGGCCCCCCAAGGGGCCCCCAGTGGGACCCCAATGGCTCCCCCCAGCCGATCCTGTTGCTGCCCTCAGATGTTGTTCCTGCTGCTGCTGCTGCTGCTGCTGCTGCTCTGTATCCCATAGGAGTTCTGAATGGGGTGTATTTATAGAGGGGGTGTTAAGAGACGGCCAGAGACAGAGACGGCCGTCAATACCCCCAGAAAGGAGACAGCCGTCAGCAGCAAATGCGCAAGAGACAACCCAGTCGCGGTGTCCCCATGAAGCCCCAAACAACTCCGCTATCAGAGCGCATGCAGCCCCATCAGCAGCAGCAGCAGTAGCACCGTCACCAGCAGCAGCAGCAGCAGATAAGTCAAACAAACGCAGCGAACCGTCAGCGCTGCCAGTCGCACAAATCCTCTCTGAAGGCAGCAACAGCAAACCACAATAAATGCATGCATGCAGGTGCTGCAGCTGGTGCTTGTGCTGTTGTTGCTGGGTAAACTGCGGCAGCTGCAGCACTAGCAGCAGCAACAACAGCGCAGTGCAGCGCAGCTTCTGCTTTTCAAGAGGGCATACAAGAAGGCCCTCTAGAGTCGGGCGGGAGCAGCAGCAGCAAAGCATCTGCTGCTGCCCCTCAGTGAGATCCCCCTTGCTTCCTGAGGGTTTAGGGTTTAGGGTTAGAGCGCACTTGAGGGGTGCAGGTCTATACATAAGATAGAACGATGATGCCCTTCGGGGAAGACAGTAGCAGCAGCGGGGCCCCTTCTTGCTGCTGCTGGGCTCCTCAACATCCGCAGCGGGCAGCAAACATTTGCTGCTGCAGCCTCTGCTGCTGCTGCAGATGGGGCCCCTGCAGCAAAAGAAGAATTCACCCAGCTGGGGGGCCCCCCACGGCAAGACCCTGACACCTGTCCGCTTCCTCGGGCAGCAGAAGGGGGCCCCCTGGGGCCCCCAGACGGGGGGCCCCTGGGGCCTCCAGACGGGGGCCCCCTGTGGGTACTGTAGGGGGCCCCCATAGGGGCCCCTGCAGGGGGCCCCCTAAGGGTACTAGAGGGGGGCCTCATGGGGCCCCCAGAAGGGTTCCCCCTTGCGACAATAGAAGAGGGCCCTTTAGAGACACTAGAGGGGGGCCCCCTGGGGGCCCCAGAAGGCGCTGGCCTCATTATGGGTGCCTTCCACAGCAGCAGCTGCTGCTGCTGTGCCTACTGCTGCTGCTGCTGCTGCTACTGCGTCTGAATGTTCGCTCCGTAGAACTTGTGCTGCAGTGGGTGCTGTAACAGCAGCAGCAACTACAGCTGCTTTCGTTGCTGCTGTATAGCAGCAAACTTGTACTTGCTTGCTTCTACACACGCACCGTCAGCTGCCTCCCATGCTGCTTCTTCTGCTCTTGTTGCTGCTGCTCCTGCTCTTGCTGCTGCTGCTTCTGCATCTGGTGGTGTTGCTGCTCCTATTGCTGCTGCTGCTCGTGGTTTTGCTGCTGCTGCGGCACTATACTACTCTGCAGCAGCAGCACTGAATGCTTCTGCTGCAGCAATCAGTGCTAGGGATTATCTGTCTGTTTTGTATCACTTGCTGCAGCTTGTGCTGCTGCAACTGCAGCAGGGGTTGCTGCTGGGGCTGCTGCTGCGGTGCCGCTGCTGCAGCAGCACCTGCTGCAGAGAGCCTCGTGAGGAGACAAGAGACACACAAAAGGAGACAGAGACAAACACAAAACATACAAAGCAGACGGAGAGACAGACAGAGAGCTAATGGGCCCTTGCGTGCTCCTGCTGCTGATGGTGCTGTTATTGCTGTTGCTGCTGCTGCTGGTGTGGTGCTGTAGCTCTTGCTGCGTCGCTGCTACTCAGTGTTTTGTCTCTGTCTGTCTCTCTCTCTAGTCTCCTTTAGCAGATACACCTCACTCAGAGAGCGCAGATGTTGCTGCAGCTGCAGCAGCAGCAACAGCAGCAGCAGCAAACCAACAGAGTGGGATAGTGATGAAGGAGACAGCTGGGGAGACAGGGCCCTGAGACAGCAGCAAAAAGCAACACACAAAAACTAAGCAGCAACGCGGAGACAGTAGAGAGCAGCACAACAGAGAAGAATAACAACAGCCACACAAACAAACAAACACCCGGCAACTTCAGTGATTCCTCCTATTGCTGCTGCTGCTGCTGCTGCTGCTGCATAGCAGTAGCACTGTAGTTGCTAATGCACAAGGAAATAAAGAAACAAAGCAGCAAATAGAGCAGCAGCAAAACAAGCAGCACATTGAATATCCTCCAATAGTAAAGACAGCAGAGACCAGACAGCAACAACAAACAAGGGGACAGAGCAGGAAGCAGCAGCAGCAGCAACACCAGCAGCAGCAGCAAAAAATAGAAGCAGCGTACACACCAACTGTATCCTTCTGTCTCCTTTGTCTCTTGCTGCTTCCTAACTCTTGGGGGCCCTGGGGGCCCCCTCCGTCACTGAAATAGCAGCAGTTGCTGCTGCTGCTGTTGCTGCTGATGCTGCTGCTTCACCGCTGCCGCCACCTCACACGGGGGCGCCCTGTTTAATTTGCTGCTGCTGCTGCTGAGCTCGCAGCAGCAGCATTCAAATAGAGATATTATGAAGACAATTTACTTGAGAAGTTTTAGATAAAGAAAAGAATTAGATAAGCACTCATTTGCTTCCGCTGCACACTCAGCAGCAGGAGCACAGCAGCAGCAACAGCAGCAGCAGCAGCAGCGGCTGCTGCAGCAGTAGCAGTAGCACAACCGCAGCCACAGCAGCAGGGCAGCGGCATGTGTATCTTTTATTTTTGTTTGCTCTTTAAGATATTTTTATGATTAATTTGCTACGGCGTTTGCTGCTATATCTCTTGCTGCTGCAGCAGACGCAGCAGCTAGAGGTGGTGCTCTCCCGGCCTCCTCACTCTTTCGTTTACTCTCTCTTCTTTTTTTCTTTTTTCTTACTTGTTTGATTTGTAGTCGCAGCACTCTAGCACCACATTCGCACAGGTACAGCAGCAGCAGCAGGAGCGGCAGCAGCAGCAGCAGCAGCAAGACACACGCAGATCGCCACAGCCCCAGACGCTGCAGCAGCATCAGCAGCAGCAACAGCAGCGACAGCACCGGCGGGATCGTAGTCACAGCAGCAGACGCAGCAGCACCAACTGCAGTGGCCGAAGCAAAAGCCACAGCGACTGCAGCGAAAGCGGAAGCAGCAGCAGCAGCAGCAGCAGCAGCAGCAGTAATCGCTTCGCCAGCCGTAGCTGCGTGCTAAGCAGCAGCAACTGCAGTCCAAGTAGCAGCAGCAGCAACAGCAGTAGCAGCAGCAGCAGCAGCAGTAGCGAGTGCAGCAGCAGGTCTGCTGCTGTTGTTCTTGTTCCCCTCATGGGTCTCTGTTTGCTGCAGCAGAATCATGCCTCAACCCCAGCTGCTAGGCGACAGCTTCCTGCGGCCTCTTGCAGAGCAGCTGCTGCTGCGTCAGCAGCAGCTGCTGCTTGAGGAGGAACGCGACAGCAGCAGCATGGGGGAGGCCCTCCTGAACAGCCGCTCACGCCCCCAACACGATAACAAGGGTTACAGCGTGCAGCAGCAGCAGCAGCTGCTGCAGCAGCAGCAGCAACAACAGCTGCAGCAGCAACGTTTGCTGCTGCAGCAGCAGCTGCACAATCTCGAGCGCAGCCAAGATGTGCTGCTCTACGGGCAGCAGCAAGAGGCGCAGCAGCAGCAGCGTCACCGGGACTTTCAGCAGCAGCAGCTGCAGCATCTACAACACCAGCAGCAGCTGCAGCACGTGCAACAGCTTCAGCAGCAACAGCAACTCCAACACTTGCAGCAGCAGCAGCAGCAAGATGTGGCTCCGCGAACAGCAGCTGCGCGCTGGCGCTCTGTAGACGCAGCGGCGGCTGCACCCGTGCAGCAGCCAATGCATAGCAGCAGCAGCAGCAGCAGCAGCAGCAGGGACATCTATGGAGGGTATGGAAGGGTAGACCCTTCTCTTGTCTCCTCTCCGAGTGCGCGCTGCGGGTGGGAAGCAGCAGCCCCAGCAGCAGCTGCTGCACGCCCAGCAGCAGCAGCAGCAGCAGCAGCAGAGCCTTTCAGGATCAGTGCTCTTCAACAGCAGCAAGAGCCGCTGCTGCCTCCATCGTCTGCTGCCACTCCTTGGACGCGCCGGACTGCAGCAGCAGCAGCAGCAGGCCCAGCAGCAGCAGCAACAGGCCCAGCAGCAGCAGCAGCAGGACCAGCAGCAGTAGCAGCAGCAGGAGGGGAGTCAGGCTTGCTGCCTTCGGGGCTCTCTGTGGGGGCAGAGCGGCTGCTAGAAGACCTGTCTCTAAACAGCAGCGCCTGGGCTTTGTGGAGACAATCTCTTGGCTGGCAGTTAGGCCTCAGCAGCAACAGCGCGCAGATAGCTGAACAGATACTCCGACGTAAGCAGCACACGCAGCAGCAGCAGCAACAGCAGCAGCAACAGCAACAGAAACAGCGGCAGCAGGAGGAGCAGGAGCAACAGTTGGCGGAAGATAGCCGGCAGATGCAGCGCCTGCAGCAGCAAGAAGAATCGCTCCAGCAACAGCAGCAACAACAGCAGCAGCAGCAACAGCAACAGCAGCAGATGGGGTCTCTTTCGTTTAAAGGGGAGTTGCAGCAACTAAGTCATGAGGAGCTGCAGCAGAAAGTAGAGGAGGCCAGACGTCTCTTCATGGATCTGTCTCCCCCGAGGCAGGCATCGTCTGCTGCTGCTGCTGCTGCTGCAGCTGCTGCGACTGGTGCTGCTGCAGGTGCAGCAGCTGGCGCTGCAGCAGTGGCTGATGGGCAGAGCGTTGGGGGCTCAGGAGAGGAGCAGGAGTCTGCATCTGTTGCTGCTGCAGCTGCAGCAGCAGCAGCAGCAGCAGCAGCAGCTGCTGCTGCTGCTGCTGCCCTCGGAAGAGACCGGAGGACAGACGAAGAGGGGACGTGGGCCGACGTAGAGTTGGTGAGTGTGGGGTGTATGCACAGATGGGAGCTGCATAGACAGTTGAAGCAGATCTCTGCTGTCATCCTCAGCCTCGCCCTGCAATTAACAGACAAGGGTTTGCGCTGCTGCTGCATTAACTCCTTTTATCTGCTGCTGATCCAACTGCTGCTGCTGCTGCATCTGCTGCTGCAAGTGCTGCTGCTGCTGCTGCGTCTGTGTTGGGGTGTATGTACAGGCCTTGCCCCCAGTACTTGGCCTGCCTGTGCAGCAGCAGCTGCTGGAGGTGGGCAGCAGCAGTCCGCCTCCTTTGGGGGCCCCACACCTGCGGAGGGCCCACCAACGCCTGGGGGCCCCCAGGAGATATCTACGCCACAACCGCAGCCCTTCTAAACAAACAGAGGGTCAGCTATATATATATCTATATATATATATATTAATGTATATATATATACCTGCATATATTTAACTATTCATATGTATGCATATATGCATGTATATATATATATATATATATATATATATATATATATGCATGTACATATATCTATATGTTTTGTATCGTATCTACTATTATGTACATATATAATATATATATATATATATATATATGTTTGCTGCTGCTGCAGAGGCTTTCTTGGGCCCTCCACGTCCACCCCACATGATATCATCTCCGCAGACGGCGAGGCGGTTTGCTGGTGCCGCTGCTGCTGCTGCTGCGCAGTCGCCGCTGCATGCATCAGACACCGAAGTCTTCGTGAAGCCCCGCCGCAGCCGCCCTCCCATGTGGGGTGCGGCCTCCTGGAGAAGCAGCAGCAGCAGCAGCAGCGCCGCTGCAGCAGCAGCCGCAGCAGCCGCAGCAGAAGCTTTCCCTTCTGTTCGGAGGGGCGGAAGAGACGCAGCAGCAGCAGCAGCTGCTGCTGCTGCTGCTGCTGTAGTGGTAACAAGAGGGATGAATGAGGAGGAACAGCTGCACAGGGAAGCTGCTGCTGCTCCTGCTTCTGCTGCTGCTGTTCCTGTGCTTCCTCAGCCCCGCAGCAGACGGTCGCGTTTGCTGCCGCATGCAGGCAGGCAGATGGAGACAGCTGGGGGCCCCCCGGAAGCAAACGGCTTCTTAATGGGGGCCCCCAGGCCTTCCTTACCCTCACTGGCGATGCCCTTCCGCTCTTCAGCCCCCGCAGACACCTCATCCGACTGGCAGCGCATGCAGCAGCAGCAGCAGCAGCAGGACCGTATGCGCCAGCAGCGCTTGCAGCATCAGCAGCAGCAGCAGACGGAGACCGATGAAAGCCCTGAGAGTGACGCGTACGACGCGCCTGGAGCTCCACACAGAGGGGAGGAGCAGCGACACCAGCAGCAGCAGCAGCAGCGACGGCAGCAGCAGCAGCAGCAGGTGGCTGTGTATGAGGAGACAGCTGCAGACTCTTCGGAGATGAGTCCGCGTTCAGGAAGCCCAGCGGAGACAGACAAATCTTCATACCAGAGGATTGCTGCTTATAGTGAAGGCTACAGTGCGCCTTCCCCAGCAGCATCAGCAGCAGCAGCAGCAGCAGCAGCGCCTGCTGCTGCTCCTGCTGCTGCCGCTGGCGAGGGGAGCCGTCTACAGCAAAGTGCCGACGATGGAGACAGAACGAATGAAGCCTTTGCTGCTGGAGGCCCCAAACGCGCCTCTGTTCCCGCAGCCCCAGATAGCAGCAGCAGCAGCAGCAGCAGCAGCAGCAGCAGCAACATGCCTCAAGAGGGAATGGGGAGAGGTTCTGTATCAGCCTCGGTGAATCTGTTAGAAAATCCAGGAGGTGCTGAAGCAGCGACAGCGCCACAGGAAGATGGCTATCTGCCTGCTGCTGCAGCAGCAAGTGACTGGGCGGACGCAGCAGCAACAGCAGCAGACGCAGCAGCAGGAGCAGAAGGAGCAGCAGCAGGAGCAGCAGAGGCAGCTGAGTATTCAGATGCGTGGAGAGACGGAGGGGACAGCCATCAGTTTGATGTCCCCGAGGAGCCCTGGCTGTCGGACGGCGAGGCGGCACCGGATCAGCAGCAGCAGCAGCAGCAGCAGGAAGAGGAGCAGCAGCAGCAGCAGGAGCAGCAACAGGAGAAGTTGGGAGAAAGGAGGAGGGGCCTAACAGCAGATGCAGCAGTCTCTACAACTCCAGACAAGCGTCTCCTTCCAGAGACAGAAGCACTTGTTGCTGTCTCTTCAGGAGTTGCTGCTGCCTCCCCAGCAGCAGCAACAGCAGCAGCAGGAGCAACAGAAGGTGCAGCAGGATCCGGCGACGCTGCAGCAGCGTTGGCTGCTGCTGCAGCAGCAGAAACACCTCGCGCTTCACCTGCAATGGCACTACCGGCAGCAGGAGCAGCAGCAGCAGGAGCAGCAGCAGGGGTGTCTCCTGTCCGGAGTGTACAGAGGGGGATCCAGACGTCTCCCGAGCAGAAGCGTAGGCCGAGGGCTTTAAGAGGAGGGAGACGAGGAGAGCGGCGTCGTGGGGTGTCTCTGCAGCTCGATAGTTACTGCCCCCCTCCAAGTGTCTGTACACCTGAAAGGAGATACCCTCAACGAACCCGTCTGAAGCCTTTGCTAGCTTGGATGGGGGAGCGAGTAGATTATAATTATTTCGGCATGGTAGATGTTGTTCGGTGCAGCAATATTGTAGATTTATATTTAACAACAGGAGATGTAGGGGCTCTCCCTGATGTCTGTCTTGCTGCAGAAGACCCCAAGAAGCTTCTTAAAAAAATCGTTAAACAGCAGCAAATGGTGCTGCCACAAACTACTCAGGCTATAGAGGACCAGCAGCAGCAGCAGCAGCAGCAGCAGCAGCAGCAGCAGCGGCAAAGGACACAGCAACACACGCGTCACAACCGCAAGACAGCAGCAGCTTCTAGTAGAAAGAGAAGAAGCAGTGGGGCCTCCTCCTTGGGATCGCCTAGAGGAGACGATCCCAGGCATAGCTCAGTGCAGGGGGGCCCCCAAGGAGACAGCAGCAGAAGAGAAGGGAGTTTGCATTTAAAAGGAGACAGAAAGAGACTCCGGACAAGCAGCAGCATGAAAGATAAACAAACAAAACACAAAGATAAACAAAAAAGAAAACATAAACTCACAGCAGCAGAAGATAATACACCACGAGACATACAACCTACAGCAGAGAGCAGCAGCAACAGCAGCAGCAGAACAGGCAGCAGCAGAAACAGGAACAGCAGCAGCAGCAACACCAGCAATTTGAAGAGGCCATCGTTTGCTGCAGAAGATAGCGGCAATTCCCCCTCGCGGATGTCTCCTGCTGCTGCTGCTGCTGCTGCTGCCGACTTGAGCGGAGACGACAGCGGGGGCGTCTCTACTCCTGAGGAGACACCAGGGGCTTCCGATGCAAATGGCAGTGAGTTTCTTTTGTCTCCTTTTGTGTAATACTCTGTCCCTTTTCAGCTGTCTCTTCATCTCCATGTGTCTCCCTTTTGTTTGTTGTTTTTCATTCCTCTTTGTTCTTTTTGTTTTGTTTTTTTTTTGTTTGTTGTTATTTGATTAATTATTTTATTATTTATTGGGTTTGTTTGGTGCTGGTGTTTTGTTTTACTTCATTATTAATTTTTTCGTGTTTTGTTTGATTGTTATTGTTTGTCTCTTTTGCTTGATTTCTTCTTATCATTACTTATTGTATTTGTTTGCTGTTGCTTCCTTTATTATTTTGTTGTTTATTCTCGTCTTACCTATTTTATTGCTTGTTTGTTGTCCTTCATCTCTGTTGTTTGTTTTATTACTTTGTTGTGTATTGCATTTGTCTTGTTTATTTTCTTTGTTATTCCCTTGTACTTTATTTTATTGTAATTGTTTATTTATATTTTTTTGTTTTTGTTTGTTTCATTACTCTATTGTGTACTCCATTTGGTTTGTTTTCTTTGCTTATTCCCTTCCCTTTGACTTTATTTATTTAATTATAATACTCTATTTTATTTATTTTTTTGTTTTGTTTGCTTAGAGATATTCATCAGGAGGGAAGACGCAGCATGGAGGGCAATTGGGCCTGGGGACGCCATGCAGGTTTGTCTGCACTGTCTCCTCAGCCCCGCACTTAAAGCAGCAACAGTATAGATAATAATAATAATAATAATAATAATAATAATAATAATAATAATAATAATAATAATAATAATAATAGTAATAGTAATAGTAATAAGTAGTAATAGTAATAATAGTAATAATATTAGTAGTGATAATGATAGTTAATAATAATAATAATAATAATAATAAATAGTAATAGTAGTAATAGTAATAATATTAGTAATGATAGTAATAGTTAGTAATATTAAAAATAATAGCGATAATAATAGTAGTCAGAGCTACTAATCATAATTGCATTTGTCTGTCTCTCTCTCTCTCCCTTTGTCTCTTTGTTAGTGTCTCCTTAATGCCTTTTCTGCGCCTTTTTCCTTGGCTTGTTTTGTCTGTCTGTCTCCGGTGTCTCTGTTTGTCTTTTGGGGTTTGATTTTCTTCTTTTCTGAATCTCTTAGCTGTCTCTACTCTCGTTTGTGCGTCTGCTTAATGCGTGGTGTTTGTTATGGTTGTGTCTTGCATTTCTGCTGGAGTATGTGGTTTGCGTTGTCTCCTGTTTAGATTGTTTCCTTTGTTTGTCTCTAAATGCTTCTTCTCTGTCTCCGGGTGTACATGCAGCTCGCCGTTATTCGCCAAGGCCGTCGTGTGGTGTCTTGCAAACTCCGGCTGAAGGCAGGCTTTGTTAAGGGCCCAGACAACGCTCAGAAGAAAGAAATCGTAAGCAGCTTCACCCCCACTGCTTCTGCTAATGCTGCTGCTGCTGCTGCTGCTGCTGCTGCTGCTGCTCCCATGTGGTAGCTGCAATGCTGCTGCTGCTGAAGTGCTGCTGTGTTTGTTTCTTTTCATGCGTTTGTCTCTGTTTTGGTTTGAGTGTATTTTTGCTCATTTCTTTGTTTGTCTCAGTATATACAAGCCAGGGTTCCTTATACTATTCGTTTACTGCATACAACTCAGTCCTTGTTATATTATGTTTATATGTTTATAGTAGATTACTCTACGTGCGAGTGCTTGTTATGCTTGCTGCGGGTGTGGATATAGTTTGGGGTTGTCTTATCTGGAGGCCCTCTGGTGCTGAGTGCCCACGGAGAAGATTTTGAATTGCTGCGGGGCGCATTCTTTCAAGTCGCTCCCCATGAGACATGGAGCCTTAGAAACGACCAGCAGTCAGTGCTGCTGTTGCTGTTGCTGTTGCTGCTGCTGTTGCTGCTACTGCTCCTACTGTTTGTTGCTGCCTCTATTGCTGTTGCTGCTGTAGCTGGCTGGTGTGGCTGCTTCTATTGCTGGTGCTGTTGCTGCTGTTGTTGCTGCTTCTGTTGCTGCTATTGTTGTTGTTGTTGCTGCTGCTATTGTTGCTGCTGCTGCTATTGTTGCTGCTGCAACTGCATTTGCTGCTCGTGATGTCTCTGGTTGTGTTTTATTTGTTAGGGACGGCGGGTACGCGGAGATATATCTTGCTTGCATATTGCTCGATGCTTCTACAGATTAAAGTGTTTCTTTCTTGTGTGTGTTTGTGCACGCTCTTCTTGATGCGGTTTGTTGCAATAAAACAAAATAAAAATTATTCCTGTTCATCGACAACTCAACTACGCATGCGCAGCTGCTGCAGCTCCTCCTGTGGGGCTTCCCGTTGCTGCAGAAGTTTGCAGCAGCTGTTTGGGGGCTTGAAGGCCTGATATTTTGTTTAATTAATAGGGACACTTGAGTTAGGGTTTATTGGCGATGACTTTAAATGCCATTGTTTCTTTGCTTTAGCTAGCTACAGACAGACACACCGTCAGCAACATACGCAAAAAATACTACGAAGTTGCAGCGGGTGTACAGACACCTCAGCAACTCTCTGCTACCTCTTCTGTGCACGGGACAGCAGCAAGAGGGCTGTATCCCCTCCTCCGTCTGCCTCGGTGCTGCTGCTGCTTCTATCAGCTAGCAAGCTGCAGCAGCACCTGCTGCTGCTGCACCATCTCTGTATTGATGTTCCCTTCAAAGGGTTGCTCCCTGCAAAGGCAGTTTGCCGCGATTCATAAACCTGATAGACTTGCGCACTTCAACGGAAATGAAGGTAGATGAAAGGCAGGCCAAAGCCACTCCCGCTGCTGCTCCTGCTGCTGCCGCTGCTGTTGTTGCGGCTCGGTGAGTTGCGGCTGGTAGCCCCCCGTTCAAATGCAAATGCTGCTGAGGGACCCAAGATAGGGGCAGCAGGAGCCCCCTAAAGGTTGTAAGAGAAGTTCAGGATGACGTGGGGCCGTTGGTATGCGCTTCCTGCTCTCTTGTTTGCTCCAGCGTCTGTTCTAAGAACCGCACGAAGCAAACTGCGCTGTCTGTGCTATCGAAAGCAACAGCGATGGCTCGGCCTGAAGTAGAAAGTCTGAAGCCAACGACTTTGGGGTCTTTGAGTAGTTTAGCGTCTGCTGAAGCCTGATCTACCGCAGAGGGCCCGTATATCCAGGAATCTATATCCTTATAAGGAATAGGGCGCACCTTCTCCTTGAAGACTAGAGTTAAGATTCTCTTTGCAGAATCAAGAGTGAGCTTACACTCAATGCGTTGACCGTCAGGAAATAACACCTCTACACTGCTACCTTGGCTGTACTTCTTTAGCCACGCGTCGTAAACCTTTGCAGGCAATTCCTTCAGACCTGCTAGCGCCAATTGCTGCAAAGTTACGTCTGAGTTGTCCTCCCCCTCAAACCCGCAACAAACGGAGTTTCCCATTTCCCTAGAAAACTCCGAAATATTATTCTTGTCTAGGCTGGCCACCACCGGCTTTCCGCTTCTGCAAATGTTGAATGGACAGCCGGTCAAGGGAACAAAGTGGTGAAAACCCGGATCTCTTTCGCCAGAACGCACTCGCAACGCAATTAAAACAACCTCAACGTCTCACATGAGCGAGAGATCCTGGACAGACAGGAAAAAATTCAGAAAAAAGCCACCAGCGCTGCAATGGTGGACCCGCGCCGCACGGCGGCGCGGCTGCTCAATGAAATCGAAGCAAACAATTCAGCTCGGCAAACGCCGATATTTAACTCAAAAAATGTCCAAAGCAACCTTTCTTAAGAGTTTTTCGCTCAAAGACGCAGAATCAAAAGAGAATTTTTTATGACTGTAAACCTAACAACCGGCAGACCAATTGACCGCACCGCGTGTACAATATATTCAACATCGTGCTTGAGGAAGACCGTCTTGCAATGTGCTTCCAGCTCGATATAAAAGTATTTTAATGAAATGTTTTCAAGTTGCAACTTTGCAATGTACGAAGTCGGATGATGTCGGCTAACTTCCGCGGAAGACGCAAGCAAATTTCTGCAGCTTTCCCACCGTCCTGGTTGGAGGGTAAGAGCGGCATCTGCAAATATTAAGACTTTTTCTTGTCTTCTTCTTCCCATACACAAGGTAGTTTTGCATTATTCACAGCAAAGACAGAACCAAGCAATGAAGTTTCGCCAACGCGGCTACAGCGGACTCAGCCGCTATGCGTTGCCTCAGCTTCTAAGGCTGCGTCTTTTCGTTGCCTTGTTTGGCATGAAGACTGAACCTTACTGCCCTTAAATATGTATCTGTAGCTAACGCATACACGCTGTGAATACATTGAAGGGCAATTTGCTGTGCATTCGAACTAAAACTTGATGTAATTCAAGTAAAAACTGTTCAATTCAAGCAGGGGAAATTGAGTATTATTCAAATATGTGAGCAATACAATGGTTGCTTCCTCAGTTTGGTCAGTCTGTCCTAAGCAGAATTGCTTACTTTGCTCAGCCTCCTAAATTTGTCCGTTAGTATTCCATAGTGACGGGGTACTTCAGCGGAATATCAAAAGTTGTCTTGGAGGCATTCTGCGTGGGAAGCGTTTGGCTGCCCATTATGTAGGAGTTGCCTATTTAATGCAGATATAAAGGGCACAGTGTATCGGTATGCCGTACACACGAATGAATGTTCAAGCCACAACGGTTGCCATGGTGGCTCAAATTCATACTATGCGTGCAGTAAGACGGTGAGCGGCCTATGTGCAGAGAGGGGAAAGGCCATTCTAGAAACCTTTGTGTTAACTAAATTTGTGTTGATGGAGTTGAGCCGGATCCCGCAAAGATAGGAGCCACTCCGAGTTGGCAGCAGCCGCTGAATAGTTTATGGATGTCTTGTCGAGGTACCGCACCAGCATCCCTGGGGGGAATAATATAACGGTGCACTCCTGGATCCGATTTTCTGCAATTCCTTTCTTCTCTACCGAAAAGCCATAGACTTACCCGAAGGTGGGTGTGGTTGTTCTTAACCAGCTAGATCCACAGGTGGGGCTGTCACTTCTTCGTCTTTGTCACTGTGTTGCACGTTGGAGGCTTTTTCCTGACCGCCTTGTTAGCTTCCCTGGCGGCCCTGCTTAAAACACCGCTTCTGCAGCTCCTTAGCCCTCTTAATGAGCCACCCATATCGAATTATCTGAGCTTGTTAAAAGGGAAAGAAGCAGACAAGTCGCACTTCCTCGCCATAGCAACATACGTGGTCCCTTTGTACAAAAAGTGCAAATATATTACTTTATGAGTGCCGGATTCCCCATCTGCCTTCTGTTGTCGTTTCTTATATTTCTCTAAAAGGGCTTGGCTTTCACAGCCCCAATATCGATAAGATCTATCTTTGGGCCATATACAAAAACCTGTTACTGTTTCCCGCGATTTATTTTAAAGACGACGGAGCTTGAACCTAAAGAAAAAAGTTTGAAGTCCTCCACTCCTTTATTATTACAGCGTTCGTTATACCTGGACTGCCCGCAAGGGCTGAGGCATCATTCTTAGGCTCCGAGCTGTGAAGCTGCAGCTCTCAGCCGTTGCCTTCTCCGATCATACACCGCTACCAAGTGCAACGATAGAGCCCGATTCTAGACAAAGAAGAGAGTGGTATGCAATAGAGTAAAGATGTTCAAGATACAAGCATGTCGCTGCTTCGCAGAAGCAGCTGACCTCTTCTTCAATCTCCAGGCCTACTGCGACAGCGGCCAAACGTCCCTAAGGACTCGTGCCGAGAAAGGGTGGCCTGCTATAAGCTTTAACCCACCTTGAAGCAGCTAGAGCTGCAAGGGAACCTCATATGCAAGCACAACGCCCTCCATTTGACGCATCAGCTAGCACTATAGACCATTGTTAAACAAGTTATACTTGCGCACATACTGGCTACTGAAGGTGAATGAACCCCTCAATACCCAACTTGTGCGCAAATATATATATATATATATATATATATATATATGCACCAAATTAAACCCTTTCTGCGCCCTCTGGCTTCCGCTTGCCCAGCTTCAGCCAGCGGCTGCTGCAAGTAAAGGCTTTAGGCATAGAAGGGCGTCTGTGATGTTGTAAGACTGCACTGATTAGCCTCAATAGCTTGGCCTAAACCCTCAATCCTGCTCTCTAAAGCACAAACCCAAAGGCGTTAGATGCGCCTCCGATTTTTTTGTGTGCGGACGATCAAGGGACATCATAGTGAGGCAATAAAAGCCTTGAAATTGAAGTCGAGAGCTTCGGGTTTCAGCCTTCTTATGTAGGTGTTAGGGCTAAGGGTTTAGGGTTTAGGGTTTAGGGTTTAGAGTTCTAAAGATGTGCCTGGCGAGCCTTGAGGTGGGCTGGGCTCGCTGTGGCCCCACAGCCAAAGGCTAAGGGATTGCACGTTTCTGTACTTTGCAGCAATGTTAGATAAAATTAATTATTAAGGGTTTCTTTTTATTTCATTAAACGATAGTAAATTAATTTTCAATAGCTGTACTTCTCTAGTGCCGGTACACTCCGATATACAAGAGGTTCGGCGGGGCTCCCTCTAAGGAGGGAGGGCCCGGGGCTTGTCTGCCTTCTTTTCTTTGTTTATTTTGCATCCTTTATATTTTCTATGAATAAATTAAGAGCATTTTGAGGGCTAAAGAGGGGCTATTTTCAGCCTCATAGAAGGCCTACAGCCCTCAGGCTCCTCGTAGGTTCTGCTGCTAACAGGGGGCCCCTACCTAGACGAGGGCCCCCAACCCCTCGACACCCCTGGCTCAGACCTTCCGGCTGTATGTACAGCTATAATGGGGTCCGGAGACCTTGCACAGAAACTGCATGCAGCAGCTGAGGGGTTTCGGCTGGGGAAGGGGCATAGCGAGGGCCTCCTCAGCTGGTTGGGGCCCCTGCTACCGGCGCTAGGGCACCCAGAAGCCCCTGCAGTGCAGCAGAAGAAGCTGGGCAGCAAGGCAGCAGCAGCGCGGGAGCACGAGCAACAGAAGCTGCTGCTGCAGCAGCAACAGGAACTACCCAAGCTGCGCCAACAACTGCAGCAGCTGCTTAAAGTATACGTTACAACTTCTCCAGCCTGCATCGAGCTGCTGCAGCTTCTAGACGCATGCAATGATAGACTGCTACAGAAGGCTGCAGAGGCTGGCCGGGTGGGGCAGAGGGGTTTGCCTGAGGGTATAAGTCCTGCTGCAGCGCGAATCCAGCAGCAGCAGCAGCAGCAGCAGGAGCTGCTCCTAAAAGGAGCCGATGAAGCCGAGGAAGCAGCGCGTGCAGCACAAGCTGCTGCACTTCTTTCAAGTGCTATCATTGAAGATGAAACCCTGGACGCTCTTCCTGCTGCTGCATCGACACGGGGTCGCCTTGCTGCTGCTGTTGCTGCTCCGTCGCGGCTGCTGTCGTTCAGTTCCGTGCTGCTGCCGTTCCCTGCTGCAGCAGGCAGCGGGAAGCAGCACGCGCTGCTGCAGTTGTGTATCTGCCGACTGTTAGGTGCTGCTGCTGCCTTTTCCTCAGCAGCAGCGTGGCGCATTGCCTCAGCCGCGCAGGGAGCAACCGCAGCCGCAGCAGCAGCAGCAGCAGCAGCAGCTGAGGCCCTTCATGGAGGGGGTGGGGGAGCAGCCGATAAGATGGTGCAGCAGCACCCCCTTCAGCAGGCTCTCATCCTTTTGTGCGAAGGCCCCAGTCACCGCCTGCTGCAGCGCAACGGAAGTAGCAGCAGCAGCAGCAGCAGACGAAGCGGGGGTGCTGGAGATAGCAGCCTGCTGCCTCCCCCGCCCAAAGCGCAGGGGCGTTTGTGTGGATGCTCTCACTGCGGCGACTCTGCAGTAGCAGCAGCAACAGCAGCAGCAGCAGAAGAGACAGTTAGCGAGGAAGGAGACAAGGGAAGAGACAGCAGTCTACAGGAGACACCCAAACGAGGCTGGCATAGCGCTTGGGGGGCCTTCTCTGTGAAGTGCTGCTGCCTCTCCTGCTGTGAGGAGACAGACCCCACAGACCCCAGTAAATGGAGTGTCTCTACAGGAGCCGCGGCGCAAGCAGCTGCTGCTGCGGTTGCTGGGGAATCGGGGCTGGGCGGACATTTGGCAGCAGCAGCAGCTGCGGCTGCTGCTGCTGCTTCGGGTGTACGTGCAGCTGTGAAACGGCTGCGCAGCAGAGAGGCCGAGGAGGGCCTCGGGGGCTGCGGCACAGTGCCTATTCGATATGCGTTGCGGCAGGAGGTGCTGCGGCTGCTGCTGCTGCTGCTGCTGCACCCAGACCCTCTCGTGAGCAGCGCGCTGCTGCAGCAGCGGAGACGCCCCAACCAGCAGCAGCAGCAGCAGCAGCAGCAGCAGCTGAAGGGCTCCCGGGCTGGCGCTGCAGATCCCAACAGCAGCAGCAGCAGCAAGCAGGAAGGAGGGTTGGCTCTTCTGCGTGCGGCGCTGCGGGGTCTGTCTACCGACCGTGAGCTGGATGCACTGTGCTTGTTGGTGGGGTTGTTCTATCGTTTTATGTCGAGGAGACAAAAGGGACAGGCAAATGAGACGGAGACAGCAGCACGCCGTCTGCTTCTCTCATCGGGCGGCGGGGGCTTCCCCGTGCCGCTGCTGCTGCAGAGACTTGCTGCTAGGGAGCAGCTGAGCCACTTGCTGCTGCCCTTGTTGTCTCCTCACGACTGCAGCAGCGTTGCTGACGCAGCAGCAGCAGCAGAAGCAGGAGCCGCACCAGCTGCACGCAACGGGGACGCCCCACCTCTGCCGGCTTACTTTAGCAGCGCCTGGGCGGTGCAGCGATTGCTGGGGTGTCTGCTGCTGCTGGCGGTGAGCCGAGAAGAGATGAAGGGCGTCCCGCTGTGTGGGGCCCCTCAGGAGACAGCTGAGGCTCACGGAGGAGACAGTACGAGTTCCTTGCGTACTGCTGCTGCCCCGCTGCTCTCTGTGGCGCTAGCTATACGTCCCGTTCATCTGCCGCCGCAGCAGGAGCTGCTGCTGCTGCTCTTTAAGGCCCAGCCAGCAGCTGCTGCTCCCTACCTTGCAAAGATAAGCGGCCTCCTGCTGACACCCCGCAAGTCTTCTACCTTTGCGCTCTCTTGTCTCTTTCTCTGCCGCCTACTTGAAACCCCCTGGGCCTCCCCTGCACACTCTTTCAACCAGCAGCAGCCGCTGCAGCTGCAGCAGCAGCAGCAGCAGCTCGTGACGTCAGGGATGGGTGAAGGAGGATTCAGATGGCTAGATGGATTAGAGGGGGTGGCCGAGCAGCAGCAGCAGCAGCAGCAGCAGAAGCAGGACGGAGAAGTGGATTGGTTCGGAGAGCTGGAGCCTTTGCGGCTGCAGCACGCGCTGCATCAGCACGAGCAGCAGGCAGCGCTGCAGCGACACTGGCGGGTTGTGGGGCTGGCAGTGCTTTACGTGGCTTCGCCTGCGCTGCTGCTGCGGCAGCACCTTTCCCAGTGTCTGCTGCAGCAAGACCTCACCCTCGCCTTCTTTGGGGTGTCCGTCCTTAGGGCCTGCTGCAAGGCGCTGCGCTGCATGCATGCGGCCCTGAAAGACAGCCCCGAGCAGCAGCGTCTCTTCCTCTCCCAGGTGGCTCTCAGGCTCCCAGACCCCAAGACACTCGTCAACTCTTTGCTGCGCATGCAGCAGCAGCAGCAGCAACAACAACAGCAGCAGCAGCAGCGGCAGCAGCGGCGGCGGCAGAAGAAGCTCGCGTCGCAGCGTATACAGGATGCTGAGGAGGCGTCCTTTGTGGAGTGTTGGCTATCGGACGAAGCGCTAGCGAGGGCAGCTGCAGCAGCAGCAGCTGCTGCTGCGAAGGAGCAGCAGCAACGGGAACTAGAGAGCCTGCAGCAGCAGGGGACATCCGAGGCGAGCGATGACGACCAAGTTGAAGTCCACGTGGCAGGCATGGGGCACGAGGAGACAGAAGGAGACAGCTTAAAAGCCCTTGGGGGGGCTCAGGAGGAGACAGTGCAGGAGACACCTCAGCGCGTATTCGAGATAGACAAGGGGGTGCCTCTAAAGCACCTGCTGCAGCTCTTCTTTAAAGAGGGGGCCCCCCAGCGAGCGGCACAGGACGGGGGTCCCCGCGATGCTCGTGGGGACAGCCTTGTAGGGGCCGAGGGGATTCATTTAGAAGAGCTCTTCTTGCAGTTTATGTTGAGGTGAGTAATGAAGACACAGACAAACACTCTTCCATGGAGACTCACACCAACGACGGAGCCACCAACATGAACGAAGAGACACTCCCTGGTTTGTCTCTATTGCCCCGCCTTAGCAACAGTGCTGATCTGCATGCAGCCCCTGCGAGGGAAAGGGGGGGCGGCGTGGGGGTCTTGGGGCTGCTGCTGTTTGGGGTTGCAAATGCCTTAGCAACCTACGCAGCTCCATACACCCACACGGATGCACATACCTACAGGCACAAACGCATGCATGCATGCATGCATGCATGCATGCTCGCATGCATGCTTGAACGTATGTGCGTATGTTCTGTTTGTTGGTGGGTTATTTTGCGGTTACAGATAATGCCTGTGGTCTTCAAGCTGATTGGGCCGTTCGTTTTGCTGAGGGGTTGCGTGGGGTTGTGTTGTTTTCGGGTTGTGTTTCAGGTGTCTGGACAGCGCAGACGCATATCAAGATCTGCTAGTCCCTTCGTTCCCTCTGGAGTGGGGGAAGCTGCTCTGCACGTGGAAGGCGGGGGAGGCCCCGGGACACACAGGGGCCCCACGGGCCCCGGAGGCCCTCGGGGGCCCTGGGAAGCTGTGGCTTTGCTGTTCCTCGGGCCGCCTTGCAGCAGAAATAACGCATCTGGGGGTGCAGGCGCGGGGCGGTGTAGACATCTGGGGAGAGGAGATAGCACTGGGGGCTCCTGTCTCCAAGCAGCAGCAGCTGCTACTGCTTCACCTTCTGCTGCAGTGGCACGCCGATGTGCAGGGCAGCAGGAAGCTGCTGCAGCACAGCCAGGCCCCACAGTCAGCTGACAAGCCTCAAGGACAAGTCGCTGTCTGCAGTCCCCGGCTCCCCCCGCTGCAAATCCTTTTGGGGTATGTTTCGCAGTGAGGCTGCGCAAGTGTTGGGCTTCGAATCAGTCTTGTTGTATGCATCCGAGCGCTTTTGCATGCAGCAAATGATGGCGTTGTGTATTTAGCTGCTTGCGATGCGGGTGCCTGCAGGCTGCTGCACAAGAGCGGGTTGTTTGCAGGAGAGCATTTGGGGAGTTGCTGCGTAGACGAGGCCGCTGTGTGGCTAGCTGCGCTGCTGGAGAGCGGCTGCTTCCGCTGCAGTTGTCTCTACTTCGTGGGTTTGGTGCGCCTCGCAAGCGAACGGCGGCTGAGTCTCCTTGCCTGCAGCCAGGAGTACCTTTCTTTAGAGACAGTACCGAGAGCGGGGGGAGAAGCAGCAGCTGCAGCAGCAACTGCAGCAGCAGCTGCTGCAGCAGCAGCAAACGGAGCTCCCGGCGGCTTTTTTTCGGTGTTTTCTTTGGCTGTTTTGTCGCACTTGTCAGTGACCCCGCGCTGCAATGGGGGGCGGCCGCTCTTCGTAGAAATACCTCCTTTCGGTGTTGGAGCCCCCAGCGAGAGCTGCTGGGGTTGCTGTACTCCGCAGCATTCAGGAGACCTCTGCGTGGAAGCCGTCACGGGGTGGGCCTTGCAGGGCTTCATGCGCTGCTGTGTCTTGAGCCCCTCGTGGGGCCCTCCTCTCCTTCGCTGTCTGGAGGCTGAGGGGCCTTGGCGGGTCGTGGGCGCTGCGCTGAACGTGAATGCATCTACGAAGCAGGAGCAGGAACAAGAACAAGAGCACCAGCAGCAGCAGCAGCAGCAGCGGCAGGCGGACGCAGCCCGGGCTGCTGCGGCGCAGCACCCCCAGTACGAACTTGTAAACAAATACCGCCGGCAATTGCGGCGTTTCTTGAAGGTTTGCTGTTGCCGAGTTGTGGAGCCCCACACTTCACAAGGGACAGAGGGAGAGGGGAGGAGATCTTTCCTTGAGACGCAACTTACACTGGTGTCTGGCGCTGCTCCTCATTTGGCCGCGAGGTTGGGCCCGCATGCTGCAGTGCATGCGATACCCCCGGGGCTGCTGCTAGCTGTCTTTGGAGCGCAGCTACCTGGCTCTGGTTGGGGACATGCAGGAGGCCCTGCTGCTGCTGCAGGCTGGAGCAACGGGCTGTGGCTGCTGCGCGCGCTGCTGCAGCACATCGGAGAGTTGCCGCCGCCTGCAGCATGTACGGAGCCTGCTGAGGAGACACTACAGGACGCCGGAGACAAGGAGACGGAAGAGAGGCTGGCTGCTCTTCTGCTGCAGTTGGAGGCGGTCACGCGCCACGTGAGGAACTCAGCCGTGGCGTTGGGGGGTCTCCTCCCTGTGGGGAGTCCCTCCCTGTGGGGCCCCAGTGACACCTCAGGCGCCGACTCTGAAGCAGAGCAGCCGCTATTGTTCGACGTGGGGGAGGCTTCAGAGCGGCTGTTGCGTCTGGCTATCAAGGCCCTCAAGGGGCTGCAGTCTCTTTGTGCTCCTGCGCATCTCCCTCAGCAAGCCCTGCATAACGGGCGACAAAAGAAAAGAAAAGAGAAAAAAGGCAACAACAAAAGCAGCATCGTCGATGGCTCGCCTCCACCGACAGAAGCACTTAGGCAATGGACAGAGATGGGGGCTGTTCTGTGCTGCCACATTTGCAACCTGCTGCAGGCTGCTGCTGCTGAGGGGACACCTGAGGCAATGGGGGGTCAGCAGCGGCAGCAGCTGCTGCTGCTGCTGCAGCGAGTGGTGCGGCGGGCGATCGAGTTGGCAGCAGCTTTGCTGCAGGCAGAGGAGCTGCTGGACTCGGACAACTGCGCCCCAGTTATTCGTTGCATGCAGGGCCTAGGCCTTGTCGCGAGTTCCCAGCGCCGAACGGAGACAGAACACCAAACGGAGACAGAAACGCAAGAGACAGAGGAGACGGAGGCACAACAGCAAGATGAAACGGCGCCAAGATGCCAACGGGAGGAGCCTCTCCTTCGGGACTTGCTGCTCGCTCTCTTGCAGCGCCTTGCGGTGGCTGCGAGGCCTTTTGTAGCAGAAGATAGGAGGCCGTTGCTGCTGCTGGCGGCTGAAAGGGTGGTGGGCCGTAAGGAAAAGACAGCTGCAGCAGGAACATCGGCAGGTCTCGCTCACCTCCGCTGGCTGCTGCCCCTGCTGGAGTTCTGGGGGCTGGGGCACACAGCAGCACCAGCAGCAGCGGCAGCACCTGCTGGTGGGCATCTGACGGGTGCTGAAGGAGTGTTCGGCCTGTCGCTCGTCCTGCATGCATGCGGCGCAACCCCAGTTGCCCCGGGTGAAAACCCTGAAGCAGCAGCACTCTCCTTAGTGCAACGGTTGCAGGTGCTCTCTGAAGAGGAAGCGCTGCGCCTGTTCAGCTTCTTGGAGGGCTTGTGGCAGCAGCAAAGGGCCGAGCAACAAGCTCCTGCTGTTGCTGCTGCTGCTGCTGCAGTGGCGCTTGTTGCGGCGGCGCCAGAGACTTCTAAGGCCCGAGCCCACATCCAGGCAGCCAAGGATCTCCCTTCCAATGAGGGTTTGCTGGAAGCAACAGAGCGCGTGATGGTTTGTCTGTGCTTGCAGACGGCGCCTGGGGCCCCCGCGCTGCGCAGTGACAGGGATGCAGCAGCAGCAGCAGCAGCAGCTACAGCAGCAGCACCAGCAACTGATGCTGCAGTGGTGTTTAGACAGGGGCTCGTTGAGACATTGCGCGCATGCTGGGACCGCAGCGGCAGTTTCCGGCGTGCATGCATCCGCCTCTTTCTTCCCTCAGAGGGCCCCGCAGGGACGGAAGAGACAGCCTGTCCCCTGATCCACCCAGCGGTGCGCCTTGCGCTTCTGCTGCAGTGGCGAGATGCGCTGCAGCAGATGCCGCATTCATTTTACCCGTCTGTTGCGGATGCCCTAAAGCGCTGCCAGGAGGCGCTGGAGGAGGGAGACGGCACGGCCGGTGCAGAGAGCAGCAGCAGCAGCAGTTCAAGGAAGCGGCGGAAGGCTGCTGCTTCGAAGCCCAACCCAGTAGAAGATGGCTGGGCAGCAGATGTGATGGAGGCACTGAAACTGTCACTGTATGCGCGGGACAGCAACGAGGGCCCTAGCGGCAAGCGTGTGCGGGCCAAGGGGGCCCCCTGGCAGGTGGCAGCGTCGTTCCTTCGGGAGAGGCGGGAGAGAGAATATCCTGCTGCCTATAGCTTGGCTGCTGAGGCCCCACTGCTGTGGGCACAGGCTGTGCAGCAGTTCCTCGCCTCGCTCTGCATGCAGCAGGCAGGGACATCAGTCCTTGTGCGTCTCGGTGTAGAGTTGGCGCGAGACCTGGCGGAGCTGGCGGGCAGCCTGGAGGAGCCTTTTACGATTGAAGAGGGGTGAGATTTTGAAGCTTTTCTCTCTTTTGTTTCTCTGCCCGCTCGCAGTTTACGCCCTGAAGGGAGAGGGGCTCAGTCCCTTAGATCCTCATAGGAGCTGTCGCGTGCAGTAGGGAGCAGCCAGCAGGAGCACGGATGCGCGGGCTGCTCGTCTCTGCATCTAAGTCCTCTAAATCCCCGTGGCCGCCCTTTGCCATCCGAAACAAGGGTTTAGGGCTTTGGGGTTAGGGTTTTACTGTTTAGGGGCTAGGGTTTAGGGTTTGGCTTGGGCTGCATTGAGAAGATGAACGCATCACGCTGCGAACCAGGAGGGTGTAAAATTTTAAGGCTTTTGTTTGGGGCTTTGCTTTAGGGTTTAGGGGTTTTTGGGTCTAGGGTCTAGGGTTTAAAGTGTTGGGTTTGTTTGGATTCAGGTGGCCTGTGGACGGTTGGGCTCGGTATCAGTTCTTGGCCGTGGTGCTGCACGCATCGGCGGGTGGCAGTAGAAGCAGTTGTTTAGATGAGTCTTCTACTGGGTTGCGCGCTTTGGGCGCCGCTCGTGGGGACCTAGGGACTGCGCTGAAGGACCTGAAGACGGAGTTGGGGGAGCTGCAAGAGGCTCTTACGGGGTCCGGCGACCTGTCTGACGACTCGGTGTATGCATCAGCAGGAGAAGAGGGGGCAGCAGCAGCAGCTGCCGACTTGGCGTATTACCTGGGGGCAATGGGCAGGGCTGCGCAGCTGGGCGTCGTGGTGGTACGCGCCTTACAGCCAAAAGGGACACCCACGGAGGCATGCCTCACGAAAGAGCAAAGACAGTTCTTTAAAGCTCTCAGGCCCAAGGCGCAGTCCGTGGCCCGGGGCTTTCTCCAGGTCTTGGGCCCTTCGCCCCCCATTGCTGCCGTTAACTGCGGCGCCGCGGCGCTGCTGAAGCTGCCCCAAGGGGGAGCGGAGTGGGGGTCGTCTCCTCCCGCTGTTCTTACTTCGGATCTCTTGTCCGTCCACGCCTGGGTCTCTCTTCTACTACCGGCGGTGCAGCTCGCCATGATGGCGGCGGCTCTGGGATCGTCTCCTGGTGCTGCAGCGGCCTACGCGAAAGAAGCTGCTCTGGAGGCGCTGTCTTCCACAGCCATGGCAACCCTGGGGATTGCAGCTAAGCAGGCAATTCGCAGCACAGGGGCGGCTATGGGGCCGGGGGGCAGCGCTGCAGCAGCGGGCCTTGCAGGGGTGTTGTGTCCCCTGCTGCAGTGTTTGTGTGAGCAGCTCCTCCCAGCAGCGAATGCGCAGCAGCTGCAAGGAGCAGAGGAAGCGGCTCGGCCAGAAGAGAGCCTAGAAGGCCGGCAAGAAGATGAGGCAGAGCCTTTCTGCCGCCTTTCGGAGGTGTGCCCCGAGTTGTTTGAGGCCCTCGTTCAGCTGTATGGGGCATCCACCTCCCGGGTAGACGCCTACATTTGCCAAATCCTTACTCTGGACAGCGGGGGCCCGAACCTCAGTGAAAGCGCAGCAGAATGTGCAGCGGAGGGTCACTCAGCGGGTGCAGAGGGCCTTGAGGTCTCCTCAGGGCCATCTCAGGCGGGCGACCAAGCCCTGAAAGAGGCAGGGGCGGCAAGAGAGGCAACAGAAGGAGGCAGCTGCGAGGTGTTCAGCAGCGAGTTCACCTGGATGGCGGAGTTGCCGGATTTCCGGGAAGTGTTTGCAGATACAAGCACAGATGCTTCAGTTGCATCCAGCCCTGTTAGCCAGCGCGTCCGTCTCCGTCTTGCGGGCCCCTGCGACTGGCTCGCCCTCGACCCCAGGCGAGTCAAGGAGACCCTTGATGCGTTTGCGTTCCACGCCAAGTTGGTGCAGCCCCGGCGATTTGCTGCGGAGCAGCAGCAAAGCCTCTGCCGTTGGGATCCCGCAGCTGCTACCGGAGTCGAGAAGCTGCAGGTGCACCTGCAGCTGCAATCTGCCTTGAAGGCGCGTGCGAGTGTGGGGGCAGGGGGCGAGTTTGAGGAGACAACACAGGGGGGCGCCGACTGCAGGGAGACAGTTGTCTGGGCCTCTCAACTGGCGCGTCGTTTGGAAGACCTGGGGCGCAGCTACGAGTTAAGGGCTCTGCGGGAGACTTCGGCGGGGAGCAGCGCGTATGATGTGGGCTACCTTGTACCTTACCTGACGGGGCGGCTGACGACGGCATGCTTCGTTTTGATGTGGCGGTGGCAACGGCTCCTTGAAGAGGAACAGGAACACCAGCAGCAAACTCGCTTGCAGCTGCAACAGCACCTGCAACAGAAGCAGCAGCGGGAAGGGGAGGAGGACAATCCCTCTGCTCCCAGCAGCGATCCTCTAATCGCCTTGTCCGTCAATCGACCCGTGTGCGCAGCGGAGCAGGCGCGCCGGGCCTGTGGAGTGGCGGGGGCTTGGTTGCGGTTTCTGGAGGAGACAGCAAAGAAGGAAGAGGAGGCGGCTGGGATCGTCTCCTCCCCCGAAGGCCCTGCGGGGGAGTCGGAAGGTCCCAGCGAGGGTGTCGGCGGTACACAGGTAAAGGAGACACCAAGCGCTACCGGCGCTGAGGAACCAGAGGAGACTTCCGCACAGCAGAACAAACGGCGCAGGGAGGACGTCTGGGAGATGGATGAATTCAACCCACAAGAAGTGCAACCGGCTGTCACGCGTGTCAGTACATTCTTGAAGGCTGCGAGGCGCATTGGGCGCCTTTGGAGGCCCCTCTCCGCCAGCACTCAGGAAGCAGGAAAGGCCGGTGCAGACGGAGATCGGGAGATAGCAGCGCGCAAACTCGAGGCATGGGGGGCCTCTATCGACGACGGAGACCAATGGCTCAGTAGCTTTGCCTCTGGGGGGGGACTGCAACTCCTTATTATGGCTCTGGGTTGCCCCGTAAGCGGCACTGACACGCCCCAGCATTCTCGGCTGTACATGCACCTAGTATGAAGCCTAGGATATACACAATGCATATGGGCACTTTTGAGAGGATGTTAGAAGCACACACGAAGTGTATTTGCACTTCTTAGAACGCGTAAGGCACAAATTATTCACGTTGAAGGCTTCCAGAAGACCCGACGTACTCGGCGCACGTAATAAAGAATGCGCAGGGGCTCACGAAAAATGTTAAGTCTTAGCATGTTTGGATACGCATACGCCATTGCCACTTGATAATCGCACCCCATGATGAAATGCGCAAACACACAAACACACGCGGGATAATCCGCTGCATACATCCCTTTCTCTGTCACAGCAGGAAATAGACAAAGAGAGATGCAGCGCACTGAGTATATAATGGCTGGTATACGTAGCGCGGGGCACGGCTCTACAGGAGTCTCCTAATGAATTCTTTGTGGTTCTCTTCTGGACTTTCTGCAGGACCCATCTACGCGAGCGGCAGCTGCTCAAGGTCTTGCGGTGTACACGCACCTTTTGCAACTGTCAGCAGACCGGTCGTTGCTTTGCCACTTCGCAGATGTGCACGCCTTCAATATGCAGAACCGCAAGCGGCATTTGAGCGCTGCTGCTGCTAAAGGCCGCGGGTCGCGAAGGCGGGAGACGCAGCACCGGCATAAAGCCGCTACCTTTGCCTTCCGAGAAGTCAAGCAGCTCCTGACGCTTCTGAACTCCCTCATGACCTCGATTCAGCAGCAGCAGCATCAGCAGCAATCCTCAACAGACGCAGTATCTGCAGGGCAAGGGCTTGCACCAGGGAGAACTGTTGTACAGGTGGGCTGGGTGTTGCACCCCAACCATTACCGCGGCCAGTCGCTCTTGGCACTTGGGGATTGCACGTGGCTTTTTGTGTGTTGCTATTTTGTGTGTGCAGGTTGTCTCACCGGTTGCATGCAGCTTTGTTGCTGCTGCGCTGCCTTTCCTCTTCCTCCCAGATCTGCCGCTGTATCCTGTGTTGAACTTTGCGCTGTTGAAACACCCTGCCGTCTCGGTGTTGCTGCAGGAGCCGTGCATGCCGTTAACTTTGGCGGCCTTGCGGCAGCCCCTGTTGGGGTCGGAGGGTCTGTTTTCTCGTTTGCTGCTCTCTCCCTCTGCTGCAACGTCAGCAGAGCAGAAGCGGTTTTTGCTGCTAGTGCTGAAGCGGGCCATGGCGGTGTCTCACTGCCTCGCCGACGGTTCCGTAGCAGTCAGCAGCCGTCTGCTGCAGGCCCACAGAATACCCCAGGCTGTGTTGCCCCCGCCGGCCTTGCTTGCGCTGTCTGCGCTGCCTGTGCTGGGTGATCTAAGTAATAAGTCTTCGGTAAGTCGCAGCGTGCTGGAGGCCCTGTTGCTCTCAACAGCAGCCCCAGCCTGCCTCACCGGTTGCACATGGTGGTCCCCGCATGCAGCTTTCTCAGTGACAGCGGCTCAAGCGGAACTCTGCAGTGTCTGGGCTGCAAAGGAAGGCCCCACAGATCTCCAGTCAGCGGAGTATATCCAAGTTCCCCTAGCCACTGTCAACGCTCAGCACTTGCTGCAGCGCTTTGGCATCCTGCAGTGGCTACGTGCCCAAGTGGAGACAGTCATAACCTCTCTTGGGGCCTCGCCTCGCGCCCGTAGAGGGACAGCAGTCTTCGCAGCGAGGGACTCCGCAGCTTTAGCCAGTCAGCCTGTGCCTCCCCCACCCTTCCCGCTTCATGCAGCGTCTTGTACAGCCGAAAGGAATCAGTCCCTGCGGCATTCTCACCTTTGTAGGGTGGGTGAGTGCCCCCGTGCTGACGGCGTGTGGGGAGGAAGCAAGACGGAAGCCTCTAACAGGGGCGTAACACCGTCTAAGTGGCTGCCTCCTATGAGGGACTGCACTCGTTTGCTGTGGTCTCTGATTGCGGCCTCCACGGTAGCGGCTCCCCTGCCAGCTTGGCAAGCCCCCCGCCTTTGCTTGTGGGGCAGTATCGTCACCAGCACAGGGGAGAGTAATGCCTCACAAGGGGCCCGAGGCGCTGCGGGCGTCGCGGGCAACTGCGAAGGCGGTAGAGTGCATGAGAATTGCAACGACAGTGGTGGACGCCCTTCACCGGAACAGGCGGCCTCTGTGGAGCGTGGAGATTCAGAGACCACAGGACATTTTGGGCCTTTCTGGCCGCTGGAAATAGGCCCCGGGAGTCTGCCTCTGCTGCGAGCAGCACTAAAGGCACGGCGCCAACTCTTTAAGCTGAAGCGAGTTTCTGAGGGAAGCGGAAAGGAAGAGACAGGCGCAGGCGGAGAGCCAGGTCAAGTGCGCCTCACCCTAGGTACCGGAGATGGGCTGCGTCATGCCCACACAGCTCGGCATCTGCTGCTTGACCTCTTGGAGGGACTGCAGCGGCTAGCCAGGGCTTGGTTCATCTTTGGAGAGGCCGCAGGGGTGTTCGTCTGGGCTCAGGACGGCTTCGCCGGAAGCATGTTGGGGTGTACTGCCACCCCATCCTGGGCATCCGACCTGCTGGATGCATCGATTGCGTGCCTCTCAGCGCTGTGGGCAGTGGCGGCATGCGGCGAGTCTCTCGGGTTGCTTTGGGAGGGAGACGACGTTGCAGAAACATCAGACCCCCTTCGAAGACAACAGAAGCTGCAGGCTTCTTCCTGCTGTGGGGACATCTTAAAGCTGTGCGCGTGGGCAGCGTCTCTGCCGGCCAAAACCTCCCCTAGCCGCATGCAGCGGGGGGTCGGAGTCGTGCGTAAGGAGTCGACCGATTTAGGGAATTGCTGCTTTTCTATTTGGGAGACAGTGTACGTTGCTATTTGTGAAGGAGGGCTCGGGCTGCCATCCAACTGCTCTGAAAGGGCCCATAGACAGGTCTACGGAGGTCATACTGGTAGGAGCCGCTGGGTGCACCTCGCGTTGCTGCAAATCCAACGTCTCTGTGGGGCAGACAACGAACCCTTGCAGCGACTAATTGCCGTTGCAGAAGGGATATAACGCAGCAGCTCTGCTTTTTTGACTGCTTTTTACAATGAGTTGGCCGAAGGCCAGACCGACACCAGAACCATTTAGACACTGCAGGTAAGAAGTAGACAGCTGAGACTATGCAAACAGCAGACAGGATGGGGGAGAGAGTCAAGAAAATAGGCACTAGTGAAATCGCACACAAGTTCACAAAAACAGAAGTAGCTTCACACCGTGACAACAAAGGAGAGCTGAAAATGGGATAAGGGGGTCAAAGCAGTATAAACAATGAAGGCAGAAGGGCCAGCAGAGACAACACCGACAACGGAGACAATGCAGGCAAGTTTAAAAAGGCGCCAAGTCCTACGAAGATCCAGCCGTACAACAGACTAGATCCATAAAAGCAAAAAAAAAACGAATGCGCAGATTGACGAACGCCCTCAGGCGGCTGTGTTGACTTCGCAAACGGAAGCCGCTTCCTTTTCTTTTTGGCTGCAAGAAATTTTCTGCAACGAAACGGCATGTAGAGCATGCAGTGAGTCAAATCCCCTCAAGGTAAAGACGTAGACAGCCGTGGGGGGCCAGGCAGGAGCGCGTGCCAGCTTCCCGGCGCGGTACTACAGAGACCTTCCTGATAAAGCCGCAACCTTAAGTGAAGCACACCAGCCTGCCGGCCCCTTACAATGGCCTCAGCTTGATCGTGAACAGCAAAGCTTCGAGCATATACAGCCTGCCGTGCTGTCGGTCGTTGGACCAACTGTAGCAGCAGTTGCCGATGCCCCGTTGAGATGCACTGCGTGGGTTCTGCTGCAAAGACAGACTTAACAACATTGGAGGCAGGCGTCCGCAGATTTATGTGCTGGAACCGAGATCGCCTACGCGTTCTTGCATTGAGAGGGGTTCCTGCAGGAGCCGCAGGACGCCCTGTTCATCAAGGACCCACCATGTCTGTTCCACAGAGACAGGAGTCACAGCAGGGGCAGCGTTATTGTGCTCATTACTCTGATGTTGATCGGGGGCGCCTCCGCTCGATTTTCCAGACGACGAAAAAGAGCCTGCCCCGTCTGGACGTGAGGAGGTGGGGGGATGCGTTTTCGCGGCAGGCAGCACAAAGCCGGTAGGCGTGAGAGTGCAGCCCCACTGCTGCTGCGACTTCTGTTGCAACCGTCGATAGGCAGATGCGCAGCAGCGAGCGGCCAAGGTAGCGAACGGAAACGCGCGGGGCGAAACCGTTTGGATGCTTATCTGGACACACGCATTCAGCGGTGCATGGGGCTCAGCTGAGCTTCAGTCCACTTATATCCACCGCGCAAATCTAACACTTTTAAGGCAGATTCGTGCCGCTCCCCATCACAGCATTGCAACATGTAGGCAGTATGTATAAAACAGTTGCACAGCTGTAGCGGGAAGAACGTGTGAGACAGCATGGGCTTACCAGTCTGTAGCTCTCCTGGTGCCACGGCAGTCTGCCCGCTGCATGCGTCGTCTTCGTTCTGGAGTTCTCACAAAAGACTTCGCTGACGAGGTGGCGCTGCTGCAGCGCCTGTACGACGCTGCGGTGGAGCTCCATGCGCAGCCGACAAAAGGCCTGGGAGACGCGTTCCCACTGCTGTTGCACCCAGCGTAGCTCGTGGGGCCCGGCGCCTTCCCCTCCGGTGCAGACGGCCCGCTCGAGAGTTGGGGGAAGTAGACCTTCTTCTTCTGTCCAACTGGGCAGCAGCGAAACCTGCAGAGACAGGGATGCGAGCTTTCTGTTGCGTCCATGAAATATACCGCCTCCAAGCGACAGCACCGGCAAGGCGCGCAACCCTTCAAGCCTACTCGTCGGCCGGCTGAATCCATTATTCATCTCAGGCAAGTCCAGCGCCAGCGGCGGAGACAGCGCGGGCGCCTCCCTCAGGCTTTGTTGCACCAGCAAGAGCTGCTGCTGCCACTCGTCAAACTCCGCGGCGTCCATGGCAGCCCCAAAACTGTCCGCGTGCATAATGCACGCCCTGCTGAGGGCAGTGGGGAATAGCTTCAACAGCCCCGCCACCTTGTCTTGATGCTGCAGTGGCTCTGTATGTTCCGACCACTGCTCAGACGGAGCTCCAGCGCGGGCTGCTGCGGTGTTAATGGATGCTCCAGGCACGAGAGCCGCGAGGTGGTCCCGGAGTGCCTGTGAGTTGTCAATTAAGTAATCGTCAAAAAGAACAGCTGCCGTGCGCCGAGATATCCCAGGCAGTCTGCAGAGGTCCTGAAGGGCACCTTCGCGCATGGCATTCCGCCTGGCAATACAAAGCACAAACGCACCCAACAAGAAATATGGGAATATCCGTAGTGATCCACGCGTAGAGAGTATTAATGTGCATAATATTATGTGCTATACTGACGTGCATCCAACGATTAGTCTACCATTCCGCTGGGCGCCTTAAAATGGAGGAGACCTTTCAAAGCAGTTGCTCCACTGCTTGTTGGATTTGCGTTGACGGCTAGAGTGAACTGGCTCTTGCTGCTTTTCCTCTCTTAAAGGTCGCTGTCTTCCATGCACAGGCGTGTGCATGCACGCATACGCGTACATACATATACACGTAGGCGCATGAATGCACGGATATAAATATATATATATATATATATGCGGATACGAATGATAATGCGCACGCACATATCTGCACACCGGCTGGTACACAATTACACGTACATGTACAGGCCCATACACACCGCATATATATGTATATATATATACCTGTACATTGGTACACGCAAATACATATATTGGCATGCATATCCATGCACACATGCATTATCAAAATACATACGCATGAGCGTATGCGTAAACATATGCATGAAAGCTCTCGCACGATTCTGCTGCGCAAAGCTGAGAAAAGCGATGCTTGCTCACGACTTCCTAATAAGCTCGGCCACGCCGTGAGACAACACCACGAGTATCTTCTGGAGGACGGCTGAGCGGAAGGCTCCCCTCTGCACTATGTTTCTTTCTTCCCCTCGCAGTACAAGGCCCCCTTCGCGTAGCAGCAGCAGCACTTCAGCGATATTGTGAATCGGGATACGCGAGCTGCCCAGGATTTCATACGCCTGCACAGTCCAGAAAACATTCTTAACCTTCTGCCTGGTCCTCCCAGTATACGGGTAACTAGTTGAAATTTTGTATGCGCGCATGCAGATGCAAAATAAACAAATGAAAAACGAACGAGCATACGTTGCCACATGCAAATAGAGAGAGTAATATGCATAAATACACGCAAATTGGCGTTTTACAGTCTTGCACGCATGAATGAGCAGCAGCGGCTCGCATCCATGCAAACAGAGATTGGAGCATCTGGGCCTTGTCTGATCCCATACAACAACCCCATTGACGCATGTTCATTCAACGGATTGCTTAAGAGTTGTGTCGCTTCGCATTTTGCACGAGGCTTCTCACTGTCTTGTAGGCTCGCGCCCTGAACGCACTCCCGCGTTTTCGCACGAGAGGACCGGCATCCCCCGCGTTGAAGAGGGGTGAACTTGGTCGTGTGTCTAGACACTGCTGTTGTGCCTCCTCCTGGCGTTGCTCCAGGTGCCGCTGCCTCCACAACATGCTGAGGCTCTGCAGTATTTCCTCGTTTCTGTAAGCATGAAGAAGCAGAGCACGCAGGCATCAAGGGCCGCATATCAGCACTTGCCGTCTAGGCTCTTCCAGTCGACAAATGCAATGGCGCTGCCGCCCCAAATGTTTTTTTGCAGCCACGCAGGAGTGACTGGGCGCGCTTCTGCAGGACCGCTCCTGTGTATGCACTCCCTGAGTCCGTTTTTGCGAATTGTATGGCTTACTTTGCCGTTGGGGATGCTCTGCAGGACACAAATGCAATGCGCAAGCCTCTCAGTGAGCAACGTTATCAGGTATCACCGGTATTGCAGTGCATGAAGTGCGCAGGGTAGTATCTCTTTGTGGCTTTGCTGTCTTATTGTGAGCATACCCTCGCGGCCATTCAACCAGAAGGTGCCTGCTGGGGACTTACGTCTCCTTCGCGAATTGCAGAAATTTGCTGTCGAGTTGGCTCATCGCCTCTTGAAATGCCGCCATGTCACGCGGGACCTGCTGGGCCTCTGCAGGCGGAAGATAGCCGTCCTGTGCATTGTAAAGGCGCCGCGAAGGGGAGATGGGTCGCAGAAAGGGAGCTAAAGATCCGCCGAAGCCTCTGTGCTCTTGAGTGGGGAGCAGACACCTGCCCGGTCTGGTCCCCGGAACCCTATATTCCCAGGGGCGCCAGGAGCCCCTGGGAAAATATCTGGAAGTAGAAACGCTACTGAAAGCAGCACTTGTATCATCGCGAGTCCACTGCCCACTGTGCATACAGCTGGCGGGAAGATCAGGGCAAGGATCCCCTCCCCATCTCCCCCATTGAAACTCTTCTACGCACTCTTCCCCCGCAGCACTTGTTGCATGTGGTGCTGCTTGCAGGACACACCAGACGGCCACACGCTCGCAGAGCTTCTTTACGACTGTCCTGGGGTGCCTGGCCTCTCCACAGCGTCGCAACCCAACCCTCCACAGTGCACGGGGTAGGAAGACCTCTCCCCTTCCCAGGGAAAGGCGGCAAGGAGGATCCCTGATGCCTTTGATGAAAGCTTCAAAACGGAGGGCCGGTCTCTGGCGAGAGAAGGCGGGCCCTTGGGGTGCAACCGAGAAAGAGATAGAGGAGGCAAAGGCCCTCCACAGGAGAAACTCCAAAATAAGGAGCTTCCGAAGGCTTTTTACAGCCGCCATCACTCAAGGAAGGCCAAGCATCGTCCCTCAGAGGGAACCTGCGGGCGCCCAATGACAAACCCTACAGACCAGAGTGCCACCCTTCACGTAAGGGCCAAGCCTAAAACACGTAGGGGGGCCCAACGAACACCTGAACAAGTGGGGTGGGAGGCTCAGTCGTCCAAGTAGATACCCTATTTACAGGAACATGTAGCAGCAAGTGCTAAACTTTCTAGTTGCCAAACAACCCGCATTTCCCTGGTTCTAAGGTTGCGTGCTTCAGGTTCTGCTGAGCCCGAGTGCTCTCCCGTAGGTGACCTCAGCAACTCCTCAAGCTGCAATGCCAATGGAGTGGCTAACAAACAAAATAAATAAGAGAATAAACAAACCCATATAACTGGAAGTGGAGCACATGTCTGGAAAACGTCGGAAATCCAGAAGGGGACGTCGACTCCCCTGCAAAGACCGCAAGCCATCGAGGTAGGTTTGAAGGCCGCAGCTTGGAGACTGCCTCAGCTACAGCAGTTATTGTTTCTTGTCTTGTGAAGGACGTTTTCCTCTCGATCTCAGCGAGGGAATAACAAACCGTTCTGAGCGGATTCCGCCGCTTTCCTGCGCGCATGTGTGACGGTGAACGCATGCGACTGAGGCCTTCAGAACTTCTAAGGGATAGGGGAGCTGTAGTGCCACATCCGAAGCTTCTCCATTTCCCCCCTTTTCGGTTCCGTGAGAAAACGAAAAAGGCTTATTTGTGAACTGTGGGATCCTCAATGGTCTCTGGCTGGGGAAGGCTCACAGAGAGTCGCTTCCTCCACGCACCCGGTTGAGTTTGAGGGTGAAGGGTTTAAGGTTAACGGTCTTTGTGTTGGGACCCTCTGTGGAATGATGCCCTGATCACTGACCGTTCGAAACGGGTTCAGATGCTGGGCATGCATGGGAAGGCACCGGACGCACAACTGCTGCCATGGGGAAGTACGCATTGCTGTTCCCTCGCCTTGTTAACAATGCGCAGTTGAGGATAACACAGACGACCAAAGTTTGTCCTAGGCAACTGCTTAACGCAGCACTGCTGGCTCCCCCCCTCCTGCCTCGGGTTGTCACCTCTTCGTCTTCTTCACCCGGGAGACAAGATTCTCTGATTTCTTCCCCCCAGGCAGACGCATGGCGATGTACAGTCACCGAACGAACCCCTATAAACCATGAAGCAGTTTCCTATAATGCTCCCCAAGATGAACCGGCAGCGAAGGCCAGCAGCGTCTCTGACAATCAACGCACAACAGCAGAGCGCACTTGGGAGATACTGGAAATGCATGCAGTGGCGGCATTGCCGAGTCTGAGGTGCGCCTCTACGGTCTTAGCTCCTTGTGCTGAGCAGCCGTGGGGGATGTGCAATGCGGAGAGTGAATGCTGATGAGGCTTGTTGCTGTGCAGTTTTGTGTATTCAGAGTGTTTTGTAGGGTTTAGGGTTTAGGGTTGCAGAGTTGTGCTGCTCTGGCGTTTCCGTCTGCTGTTTACAGTCCAGCGGGAATCCTCCAGTTTCTCTACTTAACCTTAAGGGGAAACTGCCGCCCAAAACATTTCCTTGCAGAGGTACGGCGTCGCTTTTGTATACTACCGGCTAGCTGCGGCCGTTGAGAGGGCCTACATGCAGCCATAGTACCCAAGTATTGACGCGGTCAGATCCACGCGCATTTAGCACGCTCATTTAGGAACGTTCTCAATGCTGCAAGCTTGCGCGCGTGGGGCTGTGCAGTTTGTGAGGTTTCCCATATGCGAGAGTCTGCTGCCTTGTGGGCAGTGCGTGGGTGGCTGTGCTGCATGTGCGGCTTTGCGCTGTGTGTGCTGCTGTGAGAGGCAGCTACGACGCTTTGTGCTGGAGGGTGAGCCTGCTGCTCCCCCAGTGGAGACCTTTTGGTTGCTGTGGACGGCTAACGACTTGGCCCTCTTCTGCAAATTGTTATCAGAGTGTGTCAGCCCGTTGACGAAGTGCACAACCCATTTTCCCTTTCCTTTTTTTCTATGCCATGAACAAATCTGAATTCTGATCCGTTACCTGTGTTTGCCCTGGGAGTAAGTGGGAGTATTTTTGGCCAGCACCCCAGCCAACTCTGCGCAACTGTACACACTAGAGTATGTGTTGTGCGTGCGTGTGTGTGTGTGTGTGCGTGAGTGAGTGTGTGTGTGTGTGTGTGTGTGTGTGTGTGTGTGTGTGTGTGTGTGTGTGTGTGTGTGTGTGTTTGTGCGTGTGGATGTGTGCATGTTCGTGTTTGCATGGTTTGACAGGCACCACGTGGACGATGCGGCACTTGTTGCAAAACTCATTTCACGGGTCACTGCCAGCTTACCGCACTTAAGCCCCGAGGACGTCGCGCTCGTTTTGGGGGCTGCGGCCGGGGATTCATCGTCCTACCTGCAAAAAGCGCTGCTGCTGCAGCAACCAGCGGCATCTGGGGAAGCTGCCCATCCAGGAGCGGCTGCTGAATCTCACTATCCCTCCGCACCGGCTGCGACGCCCGGGGCCCCTTCAGTTGATAGACGAGGAGACAGTCGCTGGCTATGCGAAGGAGGCCTTCCGCTATTTGTGCTGTTGCTTCAGCTTCTGGCTTCACAGGTACGTCTTGGGTGCGACGGGGAGAAGGCAAGGGAAGCGGGAAGCAGGTACCCCCGTAGTCTTCATGCGTTCGTTTGCGTCTCCTCCCTGTTGCCCTGCAGCTGCAGGAGGCCGGTATAGATGATTGCGTGAGAGCATTCTTCGCTGCCTCTCAGATCCTCACTACCTCTGTGAGCCTTAGGAGAGCTCTGCCCTTGTCGTGTTTTGAGACTTTGTTGCTAGGGGCGCTGCGTTTTCAGATGCAACTCTTCAGTCTCTAGTGACGATTGCGCTGGGTGAGTCAGCGCGGTTCTGGTCCTTTGCTGTACCTGTTCTGGTCGTTTTGCAGGCTAAAGGTGCCCTTTCTCGCTCATTGCCAGGGCACAGCGGGGCAGCAGGCGCGAAGCTGAGTGCCGTCTCCGCTGCTGCACTAGAACCGCTCTGCCTTTTGACGCATCACTTGGGATGTAAAGTTGCAACAGCTTCGGTCGGCGCAAAGTTGCGGTGTGTGGTTATTAGTTATGTTGCATCATCATCACTATTGTATGCCAATAGTTACATCATTACTAATATTACTCTCACAGTTAGTATTTGTATTAACAGTAGTGTCTTTCAAAATTGCTGCAGTAAGTTGTTTTCAGTCGTATGAACTATCTCTGTTATCACTATTGTAACAGGCTACTTGTATGAAGTATTATGTGCACTGTTACACTGCACTGCTGTAGTTTGGAACCTTCCAAAGGATCTCCCGCAGGGGCGCCGCAGTTTTATGACGGTTGACGGGAAGCACGTTTCGTTTGGTCTCCATGCGCCGAGAGCTGTGGGGGCTGTCCTGCGCGCAGCATTGTTTCGGGCGGTGTTCGCCTGTTGCAGTTGTTGAGACACCGGAAAGGCTCCGGGGGAGCCTCTCTGCAGGAGGCTGTTGCTTCTGCCGTGGACGCTGCTGCTTCGACGGGGTTTGGCGCAGTAACAAGCAGTGTACATATGCTGAAAAGCTGCCCTGAAAATGGACTAGGACCGAGAGTAGGCCGGCCCCTCGACTCATCATTTTCTTCCCTTCAGGCTAGCAAAGCTGCAGTTCTCAGGAGCCTTCTATTCGCCTCCTATTCAACGGCACGCAGAAGCCGCCAGACGCTCGCGTGCGACCCGCATCCTGCAGGCGCATGTCCAGCCTCTGCTGCAGCGCGCTTTGACGAAGCTTTGCAGGAGACGCTTCTAGCCTCTATCTCCGGTCTGTGCTCGTAAGAAAGGACACGCACCTGAAGCCCTTCCACGTTCCGGAACTACGCATGTCTATCGATGTTTCATGCAGAGCGTAGTACCGCGTCGCAACTTATTTCTACCTGTCACAATGCAAACTTGTAGAATACAAGAATAACATACCTATGTAGAATGCGCTTTTGCTGGGAATAGTGGTGAACTGCAGCCTCACAGCGCAGGTCGTGATGCGGGACTGGCTGCGCGCTCAGGGTTCCAGGAGACTTAAGCGCCTCCGAAGGGATGACTCTCGTAGAGTTCCTTTGGCAGCTCCGCATGCACTATGGCTTTTCTGTACCCTTTTCCTGCGTGGAGGGTACGCAATTTGTCCCCTCCTCCCCGCTTGTTCCGCAAAGTTTTTGAGGCACACAGTCTTGTGCATATATATATATATATATATATATATATATATATGCCGAACTTTGGTTGCCTGTACCTTC